GTAAATTCTTTCTCAAGGTCTGACCTGTAGGTGCTCTCCATCCTCACCCCCTTGGCTTGTGTTTTTGTGAGATTAAGCTTATAATACGAACACCTGCTGTATGAATGTAGTATGTTGTGAAATGCTGGTAGTGACGTCTTGGGATCTGTGATGGTGATGAGTATATCATCCGCGAAATGGTTTAATTTCATTTCCCTGCCGTCTATGCGCACCCCATGTATACGATTGTCGTCCCTGATCAGAGCCGCCAGTGGCTCCAGAGCCAGGATATACAATATGGGTGACAGGGGGCACCCCTGCCTGGTCCCATTTGTTATACAAAAGGGGGTTGATCTAAAGCCAGCGTTGAATACGCTAGCCGTGGGCTTATTGTAGAGCGCCTTAATCACCGCCAGGAACTGGGGGGGGGATTAAATTTTTCAAGAACCACCTGGAGGAATGACCAGTTTAGGCGGTCAAAAGCCTTGTCGGCGTCTAATGAGAGAAGTATGCTGTTGGTTGACGATCGGTTCATGCCTTGTAAAAGGGCGAGCTCTTTGCGTGTCCCGTCTGCCCCCTGTCTCCCACTAATGAAACCTACTTGGTCGGAGTGGATCAAGGCGGGGAGGATACCTTTCAACCTATTCGCGTAAACTTTCGCCATTATTTTAATGTCAGTATTCAGCAGGGAGATGGGTCGGAAGTTGGCGCGTTTCGTGGGGGGCTTGCCTGGTTTGGGAAGCGTGGCTACGTTAGCCTCCAGCATCTCCTATGGAAGCTTACTCTCAGTAGTTGCTGTTGCAAATAGTTTTGCCATCTGGGGGAGAGGATGGAGGCAAACGTTTTGCAATACAAGTTGGGGAAGCCGTCAGGGCCTGGTGATTTGTGAGGAGGCAATGTCGCTATCACTCGTTCTCTCTCTTGTGGCGTAACTGTGTCCGTCAATAGGCGGATTTGGTCGTCTGTCAGTCTGGGGAGAGTTACTTGGTCTAGGAATTGGGAAATGTCTGTCGATGTGGGCTGGTGTGTCGCCGCATCTTCTCGTAGGTTATATAGTTTGCTATAAAATTTTGCGAAGGCATTGCAAATATCTTGGGGTTTGATAACTTTTTTGCCCTCGTCAGTCAGTATGAATCCTATTTTTGTCTGAGCGTTAGCTGTGCGCAATCTATTGGCGAGTAAGGCACTCGCTTTATCACCCATGACGTACTGTTTTGCTTTTAGCGTACGTAGGATGCGTGCCGTCAGTACTTTGTGCAAAAAGTTACGGTGGTGCTCATTCGGAGCGTACATGTTAACCAGAGTATACATCACATCATTCAACATACATATTAAAATGAGGTATCTGCCCTGTGTATCAGATATTTCCTGAAGTAGCTCAAAGGCCACTGACTTGTGAATGTATATGGATACTCCCCTGGACTTAGTGGCAAAGGTGGAGTGGTATTGGTTGGGGAAGTGTTTTACGCCAAATGTGGGTATGCAGCCAGCAGGGAAATGTCTCTCTTGGAGACATAATATATCTGCGGTATGCTTTTTGGCTTCGTTCAGAAGCATGTGCCGTTTGTGGGGCATGTTAAGCCCACACACATTGTGGGAGTAGATCTTCAGGGTGGTATATGGGGTTGGTGCTTATTCTGCAGAGAAGGCACAATAGGTTGGATCCGTATGTGACCGGCCCTGGGTATCACTTAGAAAGCTAGGATGGGACGCTTAATGTAGTGAGACTTTGGGTGGGTTGGATTACCACCTGAAACAGTGGGGGCTCCGGTGTGAGCCATCTGTATGGACTGTAAATGAGTATAGTGTGGCATTATGGAGCAGAAGGTGGGGAGGAGGGATAAAAACCAGGGGAACATAATCAACAAAAGTATATACATTTCAGACCTTGGTAGGCGAGCTGTACGTGTGGGGCAAAGATGGTATTAAGTAGAAGGCCTGAGCAGGCACAGAGGCTGCAGTGCGGCTACCCCAGATCGTGTAGGACTCTCTTGATCTCGGCCACGCTTTTTATTGCCAGGTGGCGATCAGCTTAGTTGATTGTCCAGGGCTGCTTGTAGTAGTGAGGCCGTGAGCCCCATTTTGAACTGTGTGTCCAGATCTGAGCGGGGGCTGCTCCCGCCGGAGTACCCGTCGCCATCTTGAAGGCCTGGTTCAATTTGTAAGGCTGGCGGCTTTTTTGGGGTGAAAAAGTTCATTTTGTCGCCTTTGTCAGTATGTCTCTGTGTCTTGGAGTGTGGCATGACGGCTTGTGTGGCTATCAGTCCCAGCTGTGTGCCGGATTGGGTCAGATTGCCTGGCTCGTGTTGCGGAGCTCAGATCTCAAGCGGCCATCTTACTCCGCGGTCAGGACACGCCCCCAGTTGATGTTTTTTGAACCTCATTTTATGGGCTTAACTTTATAGATGAATTCATCTGAGATCATGGATTCAGACTCATCAGTTCAAAGTAAACGGCCACTATCTAAATCTCAGGGGTACGCCATTTCCTATATAATTTTTTCTTCTATGGTCTAGTTTAGCCAATGTTTCCTCTAAACAAAAGAGTGCTGGCTAATATTTTTCCCTTACTAAAAGTAGTACTAAAGGGAAAAAGACAGCTGGAACATCTAAAGGGAAGTCTCCCGCAAGGTCTCTATGCAAAGCATGTGACAAGAGGGCCCTGGAGGGGAAGCGCCTATGCTCAGATTGCCTACAGGCCGCAGGATGTCCCGCATCATCCACCCCGGATTTGATGCAAATTATTCAGAATGCTGTATCCCAAGGCATTAAAGAGGTGGGCAGAGCCCACAAAAAGCCTAGATATCCAGATCCTCCCAACTACTTCCAATATGACTCTTCGGACGTGTCTATGGAGGAGACATAAAAGGAGAGGTCATCTTCCTCGGATGAGGAAAAACAGCACGCTCCTGACACTTTGGACCCAACCGAAGTGGATCATTTAATTTCCAGGGTCCGAAAGTCTCTGAGCATGAAGGAACCTTCAAGAGCCTTCTACATCCAGTCGATACTTTTCTGACCTCAGAAGAAAGAGTTACCTTCCCGGTTCAAGAGGCAATTAAGGGCATCATTACAGAAGAATGGTTCAAGACAGAGAGAAATCTTCCCAATCAGGGGAGAATTTCTTGCCTCTATCCTTTTGACAAAAAGTCCGTGTATTTTTTTCCCTTCCTTTGTTTTGCTTGTGTATTACCCATTGTTGTGCTGCTATGGATATGGCCAGGAAAGAGGAAAATCTATTCATACTTACCGTAATTTTCTTTTCCTGGTCATAGGCTATGGCAGCACAAAGATCCCGCCCAGGGATTTTTCTGGAATACAAGACTGAAGGTAGGAGGGGGTACTTATACCCTTGTTTTAATTAGTTCCTGTCTAACTAGGGATGGGGAGGAGCTACCCATTGTTGTGCTGCCATGGCCTATGAACAGGAAAAGAAAATTACGGTAAGTATGAATAAATTTTCCTCGATTAGCTTCATTGGCATACAGTTTGGCTGTTAATCAGTCCCCCCACTTATTACACTCACAGACAGCATGACATTCTCTAGGATTTCCTGATACTTCAATGAAGCCATCTTGCCTTCCACATGCGGTTTCAACTACTTTTGTTTGGTTTGTTTATTGCACACAGCTGAAAGTCTATAAATTTTTATAATAAACCTGATTTTTAATGGGAGTTGACTAATTTTGATTACAACTGTATATCCTATAGCCACTTGATCTGTCCCTATGCTTGAGTTGGAGAGAGAAAATTTAACATTTGGTAGGTCGTATGTCAGTATCTACGTGCTTTGCACGAGTAGTACTATGTGGAAACCTCAAGACACAAATGGCAATAATGGGTGTGTGTCTAATGAAGTGTACATGGTCAACAGATTAAAGATACTACAAAAGTGTATTGGTACTGACGTCACAAATTATGTGTTTTAATTAAACAAACAATATGTAAGGACTATGAATTATTTCCAATTCAGGGAATATAAATTGTGTACCTATTTAGGATTGCAGTTATGTGATGGAGCTGAATGTAGCTAAAGGTTCATATAGAAAGATTGTATTTAGGATTTATGGTAACATGACTGAGTGCAGTTCGTATGAAAATGGCCAATGCAGGCCTTGTGAGACGTATGTAGTTTGAGGCTGTGTGGGTGGTTTGCGAAACCTATAACATAGAAACAGCAGGTGTTTGTATTAGTTTGGAAAGAATAGTCTCTAACGGAATTATTGTCTTTGAGAACTGTAGGTGATCCCCAAATGAGGGGCAGAAATGTGTTGTAGTGATTTTATGACCAAATGAGAGCCAGATGTAATCGTATGGATGTGCAAAGTCAAATGTAACTGTATAGTAGTAGTAAGACAAAATGAGGCCAGGTATGACTTTACAAACTGCAGGATAGCCAAATGAGAGATGGAGTGTGATTTACCATAGGATGGCCAAATGAGGGCCTGTAGAGGTATTGCTGATGTATGGTATGTGCAAATGAGGCGGAGAACTTAAATAGTTGTGAAGACCGATTGTATTTCATTATGGCTGGCAATGTGGCCGAGTGCTAACATAAATGTGGTCTGTAACATCTGACAGTTGAATGTAGAAATAAGCCTTTCATAACGGACGTCTTGTTAAGGTGAAAAATATCCATAACAGATTTGTAATGTAACCAATACAAGACTGGATTTAGAATTAGGATAAGCATATGATGAGGCTGGACATGACAAAATTCACATAATTAATGACAGACCGATGTAATTTAATAAACACTAAATTGGTGAAAAGCTGAAATGGACAAGTGTCAGATGAGCAAAGAGTGATGATAGCCAAATATGAGATATATATATATATTTAGAAACATTGGATTAAATCAAGACCATCAAGGATGTTATTCTCTGATGCACTCACTGCTAAATGTAGTATCTCTGCTCTAGATTCTAAATTGGTTTATTGGAATTTTTCTGCAGTTTTTGTACATTTTAAACAGTGTGCTCTTAATCTAAAGCAATATAGGAACTCTATGAGTAAAAAACATTTATGTTTTGACAATTTTTATTTTGCATTTAGAAATGAATACAGAGGTAGAAAATATTTTAATAGCAAACACTGGGTGCAGTGAGGCATACATTGCAAGTCGTAGGATCCTCATGAGTAGTACATTGATAATATATCCATAACAAAATAAAACAACCATGAAACAACCTAAATTGAAAACAATAATTCCATGGAAACTAGTCAGCCTCACGACTTAAGTAATTGTGAGTGGTTGGTTCCTGGCCAAGACAAGAAATGAATGGTGTGGACTAGAGAGGGAATAAAGAGAAAGAAGGAGGTAGAGAGGGCAGTAGGAAGGGGAAAAAGGGGGTAGGGGAAAGGTGATTAGATAAAAGAAGAAATAACCCCATAATCTTGTTTAATATACCCATGGCCTGAGCAACCATGAAATATCCTATATATCTCTAGATATTTTCAGTCCTGTCATTCAGGGCAGCCACTTTTTCTCTCTGATGCCTTGTGTATTTTTTTTCATGCAATCTAGTAGACTTTAATACAGGGGCGCATGCAATTGCATCTAAGAGTGCATGAATCAGAGACCGAGCCACAGTAAGCAGGGGTTTAAAGATTTAAAAAAATTTTTTGGGAGAAATCCACCTCAATTTTATTTGAATATCAGTAGCCTGGTCTGATAAAGCAGTAAATCTGCGGTATGGAATTCCACCTCATCAGCCAGAGACGTCACACTATCATAGACCTGTCTCAAAAAATGGCTTTATCACTGGGCATTCCCAGAGGATGTCCAACAGTGTTTTGACTGCCTCCATGCATACTCTGGGTTTGGGGGTTAATTCTGTTTAGCTTGTGTTGTATCATACCAATTTGTTAATAGTTTGAAATTAATCTCTTGGAACAGGACTAACATTTTAGCACAGTCCTGTTTGGTGAAAGACAGCTACAAGACATCCTCCTAGTGAGACATACATGTAAGTGCTCCTAGGTAAGGGCTTGGTGCGACTACAATAGTCCTCAAATGCTGTGGGCTGTATGACTAATAAAAATACCGGAGCAGTTGGTACAGGAAAGATTTCAGGTACGTGAGTTGCCTGTCCTGGAAGAAATGAGAGATGGGAAATAAGTCTGCAACTGAACTAAGTGTATGCACAAATATGCGGTCGTTTATGTCTAAGAAACAAAGTCCCAACGTTCAGAAGGCCTTGTGGTAAGGCTGAATTGTTGATCATGGGATACAGAAAGGGGTGGAAAAAGGGACTGATCCCACCTAAGGTAATAAAACATTTTTAAAGTCACCTTGGTGAAGTGGTGCATTTGAATATCTCTCGGTAGGTCCTTAAGGTTCAGTCAGGTACCGGCTCGGATCCTATCTGCCATTTCTCAGCATTCTAACTTCAGCCAATGTTTCAGAGTCCCAACACGATGCCATTTGACTAATTGGAATAAATGTTTGGCTTGATAATATTTATAGAAGACCAAGGCCATTAAACTGTTTGGAGAAATATACCTAAGCAACACTATAGTCACCAGAACAACCACAGCTTAATGTAGTAGTTCTGGTGAGTATAGTCAATCCCAGCCGTTTTTTTTTTTTTTAAATGTAAACAGTCTTTTCAGAGAAAAAGCAGTTTACGTTGCTCCCTAGGAACCCCTTAATTCAGTTCATGCAAACTGCCACTAGAGGTGCTTCCTGGGTCAGTGCTGCACAATGCTCTGCATGGAGGCGCTAAACTTTCCTCATAGAGATGCATTGATTCGAGGAGATGCTGATTGGTCAGAGCTGCGTTTGGCTCTGCTCCTCCTTGGCTGAGATCATCATAATTGACAATCTAAGCCAATCTAATGCTTTCCCAAGGTGAGGTTTTACCCTATTTAAGTGAGGCAAGTGATGAAGGATAGAAAGGAAACACTGGTATAGTTTAGCAGTGTCTGAGAGGGTCTTAATTTTGAGATACTAAAGATCCATCCACCAGTCGAATGGAAACAGAGTTTGCAAATGGTACACCACCTAGGAAAGAACAGTGATGCTTAGCACCTATTATTTATCCAACGTTAATTTTAGGCTTCTCGCTTCCACGTACCATTAGAATTCCGCAATAATATTTGCTAGTGAGATAATTGGTTGCTCACTGTAAAAGAGTAAATCGCCAGCATAGGATGAAATCTTATGTTTCTCACATTTGTTTTAAAAAAAACCCCAAAAAACTTAATGGTTTAATTATCCCTATCTCCTAGAAATAGGGTAAGTGTAGAGGGTCTGGACCCACACACAATGCTACACTCCAATCCATGGTTTGTAAGGTTGGATACACAAGCATCCAGTCCACTTGTTCAAAAGCTGTGTAGGCATCATGTATGCATGACACATGTGCAAAAATACAAACCCATTTTCTTGTAAGTTATTGTGCTACCTTGCAATTCGTTTTGTAGACCCTGTGCTATTCTGTCTGGTGCCCTTTACCTATATAAATTTACTTAGATTGGGTAGGTTGTTACAGAAATATTTAAGTGTGGGGTCTTCTGGAAGGCAGCATTTCAAGATCTTTACTAATTTTGTGTATTGCCTCTAATGTGGGGTTATACATTACTAAATGAGGAATGCTTGTGGATTTCTACTCTACTGGCAGAAAACGCAATGAAGCTACAGATCAGGATGAACATATATAGAAATTTCATTAAAAATAAAACATATTGCATCATTTTCATCCAAAATCGAAATAAAATACCTAAAGAGGACTTAAACAATGAAGAATGAAACTAGAAAAACGTTAGATGAAAATATTTGGTACTATCAACACAAGATTAGACGATTTTATAACACTATCAAAATTACACATTGTTTATACCTGTAACCACCATCTAATCCACAAGCATTTTTACACAATGTGATTTTAAAAACATTCATTTCCCCCACTGGACCTTATAAGGATTTAAATTCTATGGGATTCCTAGATGGTAAACTTATTTCAGCATGGCCTTGTCCACATATTGTGTCTGTCAACAATATCTGTGTATGTCAATTGCTTATGGTGTTATAGCTTCACTGCACTGCAGAAGATGTTCTATAGAAATGTGAAGAATCATCATTCTTGATTTGACTATTTACAGTGTTTTTCACTTAACTACGAATTGACCCATACACAATGGAGCAAAACCATCCGCGCACACAGGTTTAATTCATCCACCTTTGTATGTTGTCATTGATTCCTCATATTTAATAAAGACTATTTAATTTACATTTCTTGCTGCTTTTTTTTACCCCAATGCCTGCAAATTTGGCTTGTTTTGGGTACATTATCATTTTTGCAGTTTCCTTTATAGTGTGCAAACAATAATTGTGCTGGCTCCCAGGATATTAGGCCACTGTTACATCATTAAATAGCATACAAATCAAAGATGCTGTTGGAGGACATATGTGACGTCATAGGTAGCACAAATGGAAACTTGTATCTAGTCCTTAACAGTGATGAACCCAATGTTACCCATGTCTGCAATTGTATGAAGTGTGAATTCTTTTCAACATCCTATAGACACTACCATGTACCTCAGTCCCCTCTGGTCATATTATACTACCAGTTGAACAATAAGGCTATTTAATGTTTAGAAAGGTAATTCCATACTATGTCTTAAATTTTAATAAACAATCTGGGATTTTGTTTGGTACTGTCTCACAATTGCACTACATTTCTTATAGAAATATTAAAGGGACATTATAGTCACCAGAACAACTACAGCTTAATGTAGTTCTGGTGAGTAGAATATCTCCCTTCAGGCATTTACATGTAAACACTGCCTTTTCAGAGAAAAGGCAGTGTTAATATTTCCCCTAGGGACACCTCCAAGTGACCACTCCTTAGATGGCCACTGGAGGGGCTTCATGGCTCAGGGCTGCACAGTAAGCAGCCCTGTCGTTCAGCGACCTGAATTTTCCTCATAGAAATGCATTGATTCAATGCATCTTTGAGTTGGTGCTGATTGGTCAAAACAACGTTTGGCCCTGCCCCCTTGCCGATTTTAGCCAATCCAATGCTTTGGCTAAAAATTGGATTGGCTAAAAATCGGCAATTTTGATGTCACTGGGGGGCTAAGCCACCCAAATGGTGGGTTTTCACTATAGGGTCAGGAATACATGTTTGTGTTCCTGACCCTATAGTGATCCTTTAAGATGCACCATTGCCTACTGGTAAACAAACAAATCTGAAGATTAGTATGTTTTCAGTTAAAACGTGTACACTTTAGCTTAAAAAAGACCTACTATGAATTACTAAACATATAATACACAATCACAGTAGGTGGAGCAGATTATATACTCCCCTCTCTTCTTAGTACAACCAGCAATCCTGAAAAGATAGAGGGGTATATAATAGTGCAAATTGTCTTTTAAAACAAACATACACATGGATGTGGATATAAAACACACTCACAAGAGTAGAGCCATATACTAGACCACATCACTTTTTATTATCAAGAAGAAAGATAATTTATTATTATTATTATGTTATTTATATAGTGCCATCAAATTCCACAGCGCTTTCCAGCTCACCTGTTTTTCTAAAAATATAATTTACAAATTAAAAATGTCTCTAACCTCATTTATGTAGGAAGAACCATAAGATGTGCAAAATATAAAAAAGGGCATAGAAACACAGTGTTTGAAGTCATTTTAAGATCTACCACAATAATAACCCAAGAAATTTTTTTTTCTGCGCTATTCAATTAGTTCAGAAAGATTTGGGGAGGATGGGATTTTAATAGGAAAAGAAGAGATTAAATGTATTTATAATTTTAAAACACTTATCCCACATGGTCTCAATCAGGATTTCGAATTATGTCATTTATCGTAAACTGTACACGTTGATGTAAATATTTCATACAGTCTTTTAGCAAGAGAATAGTATTATTATATACTTTTTATGTTTTTAAGATTATAGGGTACCTTTATACCATAATTTTAAAACCAATTTTATAAATCCACAGTCCCCCCCCCCTCCCCCCTTGCACTTAGCGGTAACACTATATTCCATTTGTCTATAAACATGTATTTTTTAGAGATTTATATTGAGTGTACACTGTAACTTTAAATATTCCCCTCTATACTGTTGATGGATTATAACAGAAGTTAACTATGTCATTTGAAATCTCTAACATTTGCTTTTCTGTTTTAAGTTATTTAGGGCATTATTATATTGATATTGTTTTATTAGTTTCATGTATAATTTAGTGTGAATACACAAAGTTGTAAAGTAAAAACGAAGGTGGAACGCATGGTGCGTTCCACTTGAGATTTCCTCCACATCCGCAATTGCAGCCGATCCACATAAAGAGATGGAACGCAAGGTGCGTTCCAAAGATGTCGACTCCACTCACGAGACCGGATATGACGTGGAGGAGCAGGAAGAATAAACCGACAGACAGGTGGAACGCAGGGTGCGTTCCTCTGGATGAAAAAAAGACTGTGAAAACTATTCAAAAGATGTATATAAGGAAATACAGGGCATAGTAATATTACTTTCACCAACTGAAGAAGCCACATCCTCCAAAACGCGTTTTGGAGAATTATTGGACACTTTTAATAGCTTAATTTTCTGTTTATTTTTATCTATCATTTTATTGAAATACATTTATTTACTCTATCCGATTCCTGCTACCTATTATTTCTGGGAAAACATTGGATCATCTCCAGACTATCTGCTGTGGGATTTGGATCACCTAGAAAAGATCCTAAGGATATCCACACCAGAGCCAGGTCTAGTATATGGCTCTACTCTTTTGAGTGTGTTTTATAAAATCCACATATGTGTATGTTTTAAAAGACAATCTGCACTATTATATACACCTCTATCTTTTCAGCATTGCTGCTTGTACTAAGAGGGGGAAGCAAATTATCTGCTCACCCTACTGTGTTTGTGTATTATATGCTTAACCCCTTAAGGACCAAACTTCTGGAATAAAATGGAATCATAACCTGTCACATATGTCACGTGTCCTTAAAGGGTTAAAGGTGTAGGTGATACCTCACAGGTGTTTTTGAGCTAATCACTACTATTAGATATACTATTTGTTTTTCTTCATATGGATTACTAAACACCTTATTGCAAAACTTATCTGTGCTGATTATGCAACATTCATATATTTGTATATAAGCAAGCAGAAAACTGAAAATATATCTAAAAAGTAAGTTTATTGCAGTCTGTGCAGTGTTTTGATACGTGCATTCAACGCAGACTAGCGCCAATACTTAAAATCAAAATAGTAACAAAATATATATAAAAAAAGAAAGACCAATACAATTTTCCCATGTTCTCATGCCAGCCAAATGGAAAATAAGACAATTTACACCTTGGCAGTCAAATGGGTTCAATTGTCATCCTGACAATAAAGGGCACAGGGATTGTAGCTGGTGTATGGAATTACAGGGGGGAGAAGAACAACAGAAATTCCACTTTGTTTGTGGACCTTGTAAAGATGGTAAAATGTGAGTTAACACTTAAGCCCTTATGAACTGAATACCTTCTGAAATCCCACTGTTAAGTTGGATTTCTACTTGAAACATCGGTCTACCTGAATTTACAGAAGCCACCTGCTGTCCATGTTGACCAAAAAAAAGGTTATAGATATAATCACTTGAAAATTGCCATCTTTTATGCTGGGTTTTATGGCCTTCCAAATGCATTTCCAGGGATTTGTTGGGGGTTGTGTAATGAGACAAAGAGAACAAAAAGTGAGATGTCATGTGTATGGCATCAGAAGTACAATATGGGATATTTTCGACAGGGAATAACCACGACTTCTGTGATGTTTATGTTCACAAATTCTTCTGAGTATCTTTCTCATCACGACTTGCATTTTCAGGTATATCGAAATGGTTTGATTACAGTTCAGAATGATTGAAGCCAGTCTTGAACGGCAAACTCTCTTCCCTTTAACCCACTCTGTGCCAATGGAGCAAGTAGCATACCTTTGTGTGCTATGTTGGCACAGGTGTGCATATGCAGTATGTGTGTCTGTGCTCTATTTCCCATTGTCCCCTTGATATGCTTTTCAGGTCAGTCTCCAGTGACCTGTGTAGCCTGTCCATCAGTTGTCTGACCAGTAGACTGAATGAATAATGGCTGAGAGAGGTCTTGCCCTGCTGGCATGGTGACTTGTTGGATCTGGTATAATTGCTATAAATAAAACAGATATTTTCAATAACATAGGATTCACACAGAATTCACACAGAAGCTAAAATTATCATCACCATTTGCATTTACCTGTCCATCAGTGAACTGGCTGAACTGCTGCTGCCCTTGCTGGACTTCGGCCTGTGCAATCTGAAAGAAAAGATTAGAAGCACTCAAATTTTGATATGTGTTTGTGAACATAATGTACTTAAATACATGTGCTTTTATAGTCTCAGACTAACAAAATAAAAATATTCCACTTTCATGGGAATTTTCTTTGTAAGCTTTTCATATTTATGCCAAGCACAGAAAACAATATAATATGTACATAAAAGGGCATCCACAAGGCAGAATTTACTCAAAAAGGATAAAAAATAAATAAATATATATATAAATAACAGCAACATTTGCCTACTAAATTCAAAAAAGATACACATATACAATTAATTTGCTGTGCATAAAACAAAGACTCAGAAGTACTTTCAAAGAAGCAGCACTGAAGTCTAAATAATATTTAAATGTTTTATATATAGAACCATGTAATATGTAAATGCATTTGAACACAGTAACACTTACAAAGTTACACATGTATAGCATTGAGCTTAAAATAAGGAGGTTTCTCTACGAATATACATCTCTACATGCATAACTAGTGAAGTAAAAGGGTACCACTTTATGCTGCAATACCTTCTTAAATAAATGGCACTGGATTAAAATCAGCTCATATAAAGATAGTTTATACATTACTGGTTGGGTGCATTTGTATATTGTAGCCAAATTAAATAGCACCCACGTGGCAGTACATAAAATAAAATGAAAAAAAGAATGAAATACCTCTATATTAGTGAATAAGACTGAAATACTGGCATTTGTAATGTGAACGTTTCAGACTAGCATGTGTTTTTTTGTTAACTGGATATACACATACACAGTACATTTTCTAATTTTAAGTCTATCCTAGACTTAAGACAACGGGCAAGGACTAATGAAAGTATTTAGAAAATTGGGCCAAACTATTTTTATCTACCGTCACATTCTATGTTTAAGAGCACTAAAGTGGTGTAATAAAACAATGTACTTTAAATAAAAGTTTAAGCTGCTTATACAGGGGAGTTTCTTTCAAAGAGTACACCACTTTAAACATACCTACAGAGCTACATAGCTAGAGTTAGAAAAAAACTGTATGAATTTCTATTGATAGAGACGCATGAGAAGGAATACCTGCTGTGCGTTGGCTGTCAGGGTCTGGATCTGTCCTTGCACAACTTGTGTTCCAGAAACTGGTTGAGCAAGACGTATGTACTGCAACTGTCCTGTGTTGAGTTGCACCTTAAAGCACAGTAAAGTCATTTAAAGAGTAATGTGAGGACATCAATCACAAACATGGAGTCTGGAATTATTAGATTAAATATATTAACCATTTTAGTTGATAAAGCTTTTACTCGTGTTCTATGCTACATAATTTAATATCCATTTAACTATGCTGTAAAAGTGAAACATAAAGGGATGTTGTAATTTATAGATCAATAAGTTATTGGAATTAAAAAAAAACAAAAAAACCCCAGGCTATAGCAAGAGGACTATTTGAATGCAGAAATCTGAAAAATAAGTGGAAAAAACTGTAAAAGTTTTTTTCTGTGTTCTGTGTGAACATAAAAAAAAAAAAGTAGGGCTGTATGATATAGAGTAAAAAAAATACAAACAATATTGAGATTTTAATAGCATTTTGTAAGTTTTCAATCAATACATTTTTCATGAAGACACTAGCTCAATTACTGGTTTCATTTTTTTTTTTTTGGTAACTTTCAAAAAAGCATAGGAAAGATGAGATTCAATTCATTGATTCAATTCATCTCTATGAGGAGATGCTGATTGGCCAGGGCTGTGTTTGAATCATGCTGGCTCTGCCCCTGATCTGCCTCTGTGTCAGTCTCAGCCAATCCTATGGGGAAGCATTGTGATTGGATCAGGCTACCAATTCTGATGATGTCAGCAGGCTGTGGGCAGGTCAAAAGGAAACAGTGACAAAGTAAGCAGCTCCAGGCCTTGAATAGAAGATTTTACTATATTTAGGGAGGCATGAGGAAACCAGAGTGGCTGGATGGTGGTTTTAACCCTATAGGGTCAGGAATACATGTTTGTGTTCCTGACCCTATAGTGATCCTTTTTAGACTGCTGTACAGATTGATGATGTTCAGTATTTGCAAATGAATCTGCTAAACCATCTAAACATGATGAAGGTTTAAAGAACATGAAAGATCTTACTTTTAGGTTGCAATAAAGCTCTGCAAACTAGCACTAGAGAGAAGTTGTCTTATTCCAGTAAAAAAAATAAAAAAAAATAAAAAAATGGTAAGAACTACAACTTAATGTGCAAATTATTAAAAAGCGATGCTTAATATAGTTTGGCTGGATGTTGCCCCTAAAAATTAGACATCTGGCAGAACCTACCGGGATCTGCTGGATCTCTCCTGTGTTGGTGATGATTTGCTGCATGACCTGCATGGTCTGTCCTGCTGCACCTTGCCCTTGCTGGCTTTGTCCTTGAGGTTGTGCTTGTACAATCTGCACTTGCTGACCTTCTCCAACTTGCATTGTGACAGGTGTACTCTAAAATGGCAACCATATGAATTAATTTTAAAATAAACCAGAAAAGACATTTCGTTATAAATTCATAGCATGAACAGTTACAAATAGGGATGAATTCTTTTGTGAGCATAATGAATATCAGATCTATATATTTTACTTACAGAGTATACCATTCATGGAAGCTGGTAACTATTGCAGTGCCAAGGAAAATATAAAAAACAAAAAAACAAAAACAAAACAAAAACAAAAAAACCCTCAGCAGATAGGGGAACCCAACGAGCATTCTGCATGTGCATTAGGCCTTCCCCACGGAAAAGATTGACTCAATTATTTTCAACAGAGAAAAAAACAACAGAAACACAGAACTCCCAGAATAAGGGTGAATGCATGGGTGTCCTGGAGATATCCAAAGGGAATGACCCTAGATATTCATAAGAAAAGAAAAAAGGAAAATGTGGTCCAGGAACAAATAGTCCCTAGAGCACAGGGGGGGGATATCTCAGAGTCTAGATTAGACTAAATATATCTATTAAAAACCATACTTTATTAGAATCCAAATAGAGGAAAAATCATGACGAGACAAATTAAATGTAAAAAACACTCCAATGTAAATAAACAGAACAAAATGAAAACGTGATTACCTAGATGGGAGCTCAAAAATGCTTCAAATATCTTAATGATAGTCTAGGCCAGGGGTAGGAAACCTACGGCACTAGTGCCATGCACGGCACTCAAGGTGTCTTTCCACGGCACTCAAGGCTGCTAGAGCCAAACAGGCTCTGGCCTATCAGGAGTCTCAGTGAAACTTCATATATCTGCTAATACGAAGAGGTAGTGAAGGACAATCCGCCCACTGGCAAGGATTGGAACAAGCCAACTCCTCGGTTCATATAAAAGACAGCACCAGGTAAGAGTCGGGTTACTGCCTTTGATAAAGGGCGCTTTAGTAGCGCCGAAACGCGTTAGGCGTTATGGTTTTTCATTTTGTTTTGATTTGAGCACTTTATGGATGATAGTTTACTTTTTTATAAGGCTAGCATTGTAATAATTTAATAGGGACAGTCAGCGATACATCTATTAAGCTTGATTGACAATGAGTAGGGACGGCAGCAGGACCTTCCTTAAGTCATTTAGTCAAGTGATAGTGCTAGTACTACTAGATATATGACAGTTTAGGGATTAGATTCAGTCTGCTGATATATGTAGCCCCTAGACTGGGTTCTAAGGGGAATAGCATTCTAGTCCTAATGCTCTGTGATTGACCAGCAAAAGAGGCTTTACACTACAGCCTCCTGTCTTGCACAATTAGTCTGTTCCTATATTTAGAGGGGGGTTACTTTGCTAAGTATCTTATCGACATACTGATACATTTGTCTGGGACTACAGCTTTTTTCCCACAAGATAGTATCTAGTTGACTGTTTGATACAGTAGTATAAGGGGATTTGCTGTCTATCACGAATCCACCATTACTATTTAGTTCCCCTACCTCTTATCCTATGCAGCCTAGACTATCATTAAAGGACCACTATAGTGCCAGGAAAACACTCGTTTTCCTGGCACTATAGTTAGTGCCCTGAGGGTGCCCCCACCCTCAGGGTCCCCCTCCTGCCAGGCTCTAGGGGGAGGAAGGGGTTAAACTTATCTCTTTCTCCAGCGCCGGGCGGGGGACTTTCCTCCTCCATAGCGACGCCATGAGCAGAAGCCGCTCGCGCATTCAGCCAGTCCATAGGAAAGTATTCTCAATGCTTTCCTATGGATGCTGGCCTCTTCTCACTGTGAAAATCACAGTGAGAAGCACGGAAGCGCCTCTAGCAGCTGTCAATGAGAGAGCCACTAGAGGCTGGATTAACCCATATGTAAACATAGCAGTTTCTCTGAAACCATTATGTTTATAGAAAAAAGGGTTAAACCTATAGCTGGACCTGGCACCCAGACCACTTCATTAAGCTGAAGTGTTCTGGGTGCCTATAGTGGTCCTTTAAGATATTTGAAGCCTTTTTGAGCTCCCCTCTAGGTAAATAACGGTTTAATTTTTTCTGTTTATTTACATTGGAGTGTTATTTGTTACATTTCATTTGTCTCGTTATGATTTTTCCTCTATTTGGATTCTAATAAAGTATGGTTTTTAATAGATATATTTAGTCTAATCTAGAATCTGAGATATCCCCCCTGTGCTCTAGGGACTATTTGTTCCTGGACCACAATTTCCTTTTTTCAATTATTTTCAACAAGGTTTTTTAATACGCTGGACATCCTCATGTAAAGCGTGAAGATGTCAAACTGTGAAACTACAGGAAGCGCCTCTAATGACCGGCCACTAGAGACCGTCTTAATAGTGCAATCACTGTAAATATTGCAGGTTCTCTAAACCAGCAATGTTTTTACATTGCAGGGTTAAGGGAATAAGGACAATGCAGCCAGAACACTTCAATGCGATAAAGTGGTCTGAGTGCCTATAGTGTCCTTGATATGGGTTAATGACCACCTTTTCCCTTTTATATCCTGTGTTACACCACACAATTGATTGAGTAATATCAGGATGCTCTATTATAACAGCTGGCCTTTGATCCTGCTTTGTATCTTTGTTTTGTTCCCCCCCAGATTCCTATATACTTTTAACATATCTTCTTTATGACTGTTGGAAAGTGTGTCAAGTTCTTTTAAGATGCATTTCAATGGACATGACTATATGTATGCTAAATCTATTGTATTGTGTGAAGACAACCCCTTTTTGGATATGTACAGAATTGGATATAAGATCTGTGTCTTCTCCCATTAAATCAGGAGTAGTATTCTGCCATACATTTGTGTAATTTGTGTGGACAAGTACTGCCCTCCGAGCTTGTATTTCTGCTGTGTTCATTTCCGGTCTTCATACTTGAGAGAAACATTGCTGCCTGCTGAATTTAAACCACAAGAGTCCCTTTTAGTGAAATTATTTTATTAGTAATTAAAAATCCCCTTTTCACAACTGTAGCTGGTAAATGACATGTGTGGCATGCAAACCAAAAAAGAGCCACTTAGGGGGTGGTGGCCCAGTGGTGCAGTGAAGGCAAGTAACACTTACGCTGCTATTAGTGATGAGCAAGACAAAGACTTATTCCCACAACAGGAGCTTCACCTTTTAATGGCGATTTACCATAATTCCAAAGCAGTCATATATATATCAATAAAATTTGAACACAGTCTTTATGAGCATTTCAAAAAGAGTTGATCTTAACCTAAACCTTTGTCATCAGGTATCAGAGATGCAGTTCAGCTCGTGGCAACCGTTTCATTAATGCAAATACATGAACAAAACTGTTTAAAACAGAAAGCAGGTATGGTTATTCAATTCACTGGAGCTGGTCAACCTTGGGTTGTAAAAGCAAATTTTGACAAAATAAAATAAAATAAAAAATAAAAGCTGTAGGTGGAGAAATATTCTAATTCGATAAAATTTGGTAAAGCGTATAATAAAGCGTAGATGCTTGGACATACTTAGGCAGAAACCAGCTATAATATTATGATATATATGAAAATAGGCTGCTAGTGTGGACTCAAGTTTTAAAGCCATGCATGCACATACCATACACCAGATCTACATATTTCTAATGTTTAAGATTCAAGAACAGACAAACATTTGTTGCTATTTATATGATTACTTCTGTTTTATGTACATTACAATCACAAAATTGATATATTTCTCAGATCTTTATCCTGAAAAGGACAAAAGAACAAGATGTGAAATTCCTAAACCTTCCTCTGACTGGCTCATATTCCACTGCATTGCTCAGAGGAGGATTGAGAGGTGGCTGAGATACCACTGATATTGGGAGGCTGTGATAACACTGATTGTTTCCACAAGACTTTTGATAGTATATAAAAAGAATAGTGAAAAAAATCCACATCATAAATAATACTGCTGGTACTTGTTAAAGCTAAAGAGAGCTGACAGCTCTGGAGGACTGCCTGCTAAAGGACCAACCAGATAAAAGGACAGTCAAAATCAAGAGATATGCCCCATCTTGATCCAGAAGTGAAGGGTGCACTTGAAAAACTGGCATTTAAGTAAATCTGTCACTGCTCATGTAAAATAAAGCTAGATTTTCATAAATTGATAATGGTTTTCAAAAACATGTCACAATTTAGTTAGTATATGCACTTAACCCCCCAACATTCTAAATTGGTCTTAGATGCGGATATCATGCTAGAAAAATAGTTTAGATTTATGCAAAGGCTCATAAATGAAGACTGACATCAGCAAAAATAATACTAGAGAGAAACTAGAAATATGAAAGACAAAAGATAAGGACTGACACAAAGAGGCAGGAGAGGATATAAAAAATTCTATGTGGAAAGGATGGCTAAGGCAACTGGGAGGGCACAAAATATGCCAAACAATAAAATATGAATAGTGGAAAAAACAGAATAAGAAGACAAGAAAAATAAACAATCTAAATGAAGCCTATAAGTCAAATGTGCAGAAATTGTATTAGGAATGATGATTAGCAGCCAATAAATCGTTGCACTGCTATTTTAGGCATTTCAAATCTCTGGGGAAAAATAACAGCTTTCTACATATATCACACATACTTTGGAAACAGCACTTCCAAGTTAATTTCTGGGTTATAATTTAAAATCAACGCATATCTCTTTAAATGAAGACCAAAATCCAAAAAGAGCTTGAACAGAAAAGAATAGAAAATATTAAAAAAAAATGTCTTGCTGACCTGTCCTTGCTGTGGCTGTGCAATTATGATCTGACCAGGTTGAAGTGTGGTGGTAGAGGATGTGGTCTGTTGTCCAGCTGCCTGTCCTTGAACTTGCACTGTTGGTTGTTGTGCTAGAGTAAAGTAGTACTGGACTGGTTCTGCAGGGGTCACCGTTTGCCGTACCTCTTCCTGTGTATTGGCAGAACATTACAGTCAATGCATGATCAAGAAAAATGCTTTAAGAATTAGTGCTTGAAATCTATCCTAAACTTCCAAAAGTCAAAGCTTCTGTATAAAAGTGACATTATGAAATGCATTTGGACAATTTCACAAAGATATATATTTTATATTAAAAAAAAAAAATAACCTACCTGGCTTGAAGAGGAAATATCACTTTTCTGGCTGACAGTGACAATTCCTCATTTCTGCACCCCAGTAAGTGCTATTAAAGTTAATTAAATACGCAATATAGAAAACAAAACAGCAAAGAACAAACACAGCTTCCACTTTTCCAATATTCGTGAAAAATTATGGTTTTGACACACTCAAGATACAAATGATCTAAAGAGCAGTTCACATTCTTGCTCCTTGCATCTACTTTTAAATACTCTATGGTCTAGCCATCAAAAATAATTGCAAGGCAAAACGATTGATGGTACCAGCCATGGCAAAACTGGCACAGCGTGAGAAAATGGGAAAAAAAAAGGATGAATAAAAACACCTTCCACATGCAATCGGAGAGGGCAGATACCTAAACGCTCGCACACACACACACTCTTGACAGGATCTCTCTCTCACACACACACACACACTCTTGACAGGATCTCTCTCTCACACACACACACTCTTGACAGGATCTCTCTCTCACACACACTCTTGACAGGATCTCTCTCTCACACACACTCTTGACAGGATCTCTCTCTCACACACACTCTTGACAGGATCTCTCTCTCACACACACTCTCTTGACAGGATCTCTCACACACACACACTCTTGACAGGATCTCTCACACACACACTCTCTTGACAGGATCTCTCACACACACACTCTTGACAGGATCTCTCTCACACACACACTCTCTTGACAGGATCTCTCACACACACACTCTCTTGACAGGATCTCTCACACTGCCCGGCCCAGGATCTCTCACACACTCTCTTGACAGGATCTCCTCACACACTCTCTCTTGACAGGATCTCCACACACACACACTCTCTTGACGGGATCTCTCTCACACACACTCTCTTACAGCAGGATCTCCCACACGCACACTCTCTTGGCCAGGATCCTCCTCACACACACTCTTGACAGTATCTCTCACACACACACACACTCTTGACAGTATCTCTCTCACACACACACACACACTCTTGACAGTATCTCTCTCTCACACACTCTCTTGACAGGATCTCTCTCACACACACTCTCTTGACAGGATCTCTCTCACACACACTCTCTTGACAGGATCTCTCTCACACACACTCTCTTGACAGGATCTCTCTCACACACACTCTCTTGACAGGATCTCTCTCACACACACACACACTCTTGACAGGATCTCTCTCACACACACTCTCTGACAGGATCTCTCTCACACACACTCTTGACAGGATCTCTCTCTCACACACACACACTCTTGACAGGATCACACACACACACACTCTTGACAGGATCACACACACACACACTCTCTTGACAGGATCTCTCACACACACTCTTGACAGGATCTCACACACACACACACTTGACAGGATCTCACACACACTCTTGACAGGATCTCACACACACTCTTGACAGGATCTCACACACACTCTTGACAGGATCTCACACACACTCTTGACAGGATCTCACACACACACTCTCTTGACAGGATCTCACACACACACTCTCTTGACAGGATCTCTCACACACTCACCCTCTCTCTGACAGACTCGCATTCTCTCACACACACACACACACTCTTACGCCGACAACAGGCTCACACACGCACCCTCTCTCTGACAGGCTCACACACACTTACCAGTGGTGTATCCTGGTTTTGTGCTGCCCTAGGCAGGAGAAAACTCAGGCGCCCCCCCACCCATCCCTTCCCCCCGCCTTCTAAATACACACACTCACTGACAGATACGCATTCACTAGCTAACAGAAACACAAACTCACTCACAGATACACTGACTGACAGACACACACACACTGACACACACACTCACACATTTATTTATTTTTAAACCCCCTCCCCTCCAGCCTCCTTACCTTTGGGAATGCTGGGGGGGGTTCCCTCTCCCCTGGGCGGGTGGGCAGCTGGCGAGGGAGCTGAGCAGACCGCTCAGAGGAAGTGCTCCCTCGCCAGCTGCCCACCCGCCCAGCAGCCTCAGAGTGTGGCTGGGAGCCGGAATATGACATCATCAACCAGGCTCCCAGCCTCACCCTGCGGCGCACGAGGGAGCTGAGCAGACCGCTCAGAGGAAGAGCTCCCTCGCCAGCGCCGGCCGGCCGCCCAGCATGTCTGTTAGCTGCAAGGCTAAGAAGGCATTTGCCCTGGGCATTTGGGGGGCGGCTTTTTTTGCCGCCCCTTGGAAAATGCCGCCCAAGGCAAATGCTTTGTTTGCTTCGCGGCCAAAACGCCCCTGACTCTTACGCTGACAACAGGCTTGCATGCACACACACTGACAGACACACTCTCTTGACAGGCTCAGACACGCGCATTTTTGTTGTAATTGAAACCCACTCAGCCAGTGGTCCAGTGGGGCTGCTCTCCTCTTGTGTGCGAAGGAGCAGTACTCTGCCTGCAGCTACTCTCTGCTCCCTCGCGCTCTCTAATGATCCCGGAGATGGAATGACTTCATATTCCGGCTCCCAGGACCATTAGATAGCAGGAGGGAGCAGAGAGCAGCTGCAGGCAGAGTACTGCTCCCTTGCGGGCCGCCCACAATGCTCCTGCGGGCTGCTGCCCACCTCCATGCTCCTCTGGGCGGCCGCCGTCAAAGCTCCTTCGGTGGCCACACTAGAGAGCTGGCAAAACCCAGGCGCCAGGGCAAAATTTCTAGTCACCATGGTGATAGGGATTTGTCAAGCCTTGCGATAGGATATAGATGTACATTTTTGTTTTGTCACATTAAACCAATTAATTTAGAAGTCCTGTGAGTGCACCCTTCATTTCATTTGTTTATATTTTTATGCAGGTAAGCACCCAGGCACATGAAGTTTTTTGTTTATACAAGAAAGAGAGACATATATATATATATATATATATATATATATATATATATATACACACACACACATACACGTGTGCGTGTAAATATATATAATTTTATTTATTATAATTATTCTTTATGGCTGGACAATGGAGTATTTATATACATACACACGAATATATATCCCAAATCAAGGCATGCTTGTATTTTTAATTATGCAGTCCTCCCCTTCTAACCCTGCCTAGACTTTCTGTGGCTGTCCAATCACAGACTTCCCAATGCAGCTCAATGAGAAGTCTTTGCACAACAGGGCAATTGCTGCAACTTGGGTTTAGCTCAACTGAACTAAACTACCAGAAAGGAACAGGAAGAACTTTCTTATTGACAGCCAGAGGATGTTAAAAGGTTAATTTATAAAAGTGCCATTTTCTATTGAGACCTGCACTTTTGGTTTCATGGCTAAAGGGACACTTTTCACACAAAATGCACTTCAGCAAGGAAAATGTGTGTAAATATATAGGGTAGCCAAAACTATACTGGGATAACCCTAAAAAAGAAAAATGCACGCGCGCACACACACACACACGTGCTCTGGGCCAAAAAAATCTGAACATGCATTCAGAAGCTGTCATTCATTCATGAGCTGCTGGGTTCAGATGTTATGATGTATAAATCTAACCTAGTAAACCCCCAAGAAATGGAGTTCGTAGAAGAGGGGGCGGGGTTCTAGGTTTATCCCCACCACACTCTTGTTCTTCTCTGATCTACACTGACTGTTGCCCCATCTTTTTTCTAAAATAATGTAGGCCTCTTTAACCTCACAGCTTGTGTCTCAGGGGATGTAAAGGTCCTATATAAAGATTACTCACAGTGTTGATTGCTTTTACTTCTGAATAACAAAGCTCTAAAGAATGGCACACGGTTTATTTGGGGTGTTTTGTTATAGATGACCTTTGACAAGCCCTGTTTCTAAAAATTCCTCAACGTTTACCTCTTTTAGGAAGCCTACATATAAGGATATTTATTTTGCACATTATTCTTATGATTGTATTTGTTATATTTCTGTTCTAGAAATATTTTCAAGTGTACAGGTACAAGTTTTTTTTTTTTGTTTTTTTTTTTTTTTTACAGACTACATAACCGCTTAGAATTCAAAATGGTAACACTGGAATTAAGTAAATTATTTTAATGAATAGACTGACATGGCAAAAAAAATAAAAAAATAAAGCATTGATAAAGCAACAAACGTGACTTTCTCTATAGTATTATAGTTCAAAGCTGTGCAACACTATGTAGAAATATATATTATCTTCTTGTTTGCAGCAGGGAAAGAAGTCTTTTTCTTGAGCAGCAGTTTGTAAGCTATTCCATGGCAGAGGGAGTAAACACCCTTCTCCCAGCCTCCTTATATTCACAGCTGAGAGTGTAGGATGTTTACAACCACTGAATCATGGCAATCTCCCAATCTGTGAGTGTACATCTTTCTTTCCACCCCCTTTCTCTAAAGTATGAACAAGCTCTTTATGGTTGTAAAACAAAAAGATGTGTGTAACCTTTACCTCCCAGCCCTGCATCCGTGGCTGGCAGGCACCCAAACCTTACTCATATCGCTTCCTATTGTAACTTTCTTCTTGCTAATCTGTGATATCCTTTCTACAGGCGGGGGGAAGCAGAGTTCTTCATCACAAATATCAAGCAGAGTCTGGCTCCAGGGAGAAAACACACTGATGTCAAACTATAGCAGTAATCCAATATTTTTCACATGCACACTGAACTTGTCTATTTTTTGGGCATGTTCTTCCAGTTGTACACTTTGCAGAAAAGAAAAAAAAAAAGTATTTGTTACACTGTAAAAACAGTACTTTAACTGTGTGAAATATGAGACCCACACACAAACAGAATAAACCTTCTGCAGTGCTCCAATAGACCATAATTCACAAGGTTTAAAAATAAAACTTACATTTTAATAGTTTATTTTAAAAAGATCAAAACCAAATATATATTTGGTTTTATTTCCCTTTTTTTTTAAATATACTATTAAAAGTTGTTTTATATTTAAATCATCATTCACTACCAGTCTCACAGGACAATTTATTTTATGTTTATGTGTTCTCTAGAGTTAACCCCTTAGTCTTTGTCCACGTAAATATTCACTGTATGAGCTCGCACTCTCTTTTTTGTTTTGTTTCTCTTTATACATAAACACAAACTAATTGTAGAAAAATGCTACTTAAACTGATGTTTGAACAAAGGTATAAGGGACACCTAGATCTGCATAAAAAGCCAAGGTAATTGTAACTTTCTAAACATTACTACACTAGTCAAAGGCACATTTGCATACACTGTGAAGCCCATAGAGGTGTGGGTATATCTGCTCAACTTCATTTTGACGTTGTCTTACACTAAAAACAAGAGCAGTATTGCATATGACTGGATGTAGAAGTGCTATTTAAAGGACCACTATAGGCACCCAGATCACTTCAGCTCAATAAAGTGGTCTATGTGCCAGGTCCATCGAAACTGCTATGTTTACATTAGGGTTAATCCAGCCTCTAGTGGTGCTTCGGCGCTTCTCACTGTGAAAATCACAGTGAGAAGATGCCGACGTCCATAGGAAAGCATTGAGAAATGCTTTCATATGGACTGATTGAATGCGCGCGCGGCTTTTGCCGCGCATGCTCATTCAGCGCTGACGTCGGAAGAGGGAGAAGATTTCCCAAGCGCAGAGGGTGCCCGGCGCTGGAGAAAGGTAAGTGATTAACCCCTTCCCCTCCCCCTTCAGCCCAGCAGGAGTGGGACCCTGAGGGGTGGGGGAGACCTAAAGACCATATAGTGCCAAGAAAACGAGTCCTTTAAAAAATACTGTTTTAGTCAGACAAAGTATGTAAAGGCCCATCATTAAGAAAAGACTCTGCTCTGAAAGTGCACACCAAAATATACAGAAAAAAAAAATCTCTGCCCATATACCACTAGTGACCACATTCAACTGTAATTTATAATAACTCATAAAAAATATGTGAATCTACCAATTAGATTAACTCAAAGACTAGATTAACGCCATGTCACAAGTTAAAGTATATTCTCAAATCAACGTTTGTCTAAACTTGCACTATGGATTTCAATTCATTGTTTAGTTAATAAACCCAACTGTAATTTCTCTCTCCATTTTCAAGCACCTCCTCTTCCATTGCTTCTTGGGTTTCCTACTCTTGCATCTGTACAGAATATTTGTGATCTCCGTGGCTTATTTTTATTGCTTATAAACATGAATCACCTGAATTGTTTTCTCTAGCTAAAGTTTAACCAACAGTTTTCATTCTACTAAACACCAGCCTATCAAAGATTTTTACAATGCAACCTATGGGAAAATAATCTCTCTCAGGGCTCAGATGTACCAGGAAAAAAGGAGTGCGGGAAACGTTCACATGATATCTATACCACATAAAGATAAAACAACTATCCAGGTACAGCTGCAGACACCCAGATTATGGATGGGTATACTTCCTTCTCCTAACCCTATAACCAGACCTTGACAAGGAGTAGTGTGGCAGCCAGCAGCTGTAAACATCCGACTGAAAGCTCCTGTAATAGATTCACAGCTTCCAGTCAAGGATGTTTACAGCGACTCAGGTTACCTGGATGATTACACAACTGATACAGTATTGAAGATTGTACATTCTTATAATCTCATGTTACACAGCACAATGGTGAAATGCAAAAGGAAACCATGAAGAAAAGAAAAAAGTGTGTTGGATTTTTTTTCTCTTTTAACATGAAGAGTCAAAAATGCTATAGATATAAAACTAATTCTGAATTAACTTTAAGCGTAAAGCCGTTCCAGTTCGACAAAAGCTATCTTTTAAACTCTCCTAGTGATGATAAATGCTTACTGCACAATCTCTGGGTCCAAGGATTGCATTCACACAAAGCCACATACCTGTCCACAGGAAAAAAATAGCCATTTCCTAATAGAGCAAAGGTTCTGAATGCTACCCACTACTTGTGGGTAGTCTTTTTCAGAGAGCCTCCAAACCCTTGCTTCATCTAGCTAAACGAATTGGAGAAAATCACTGGTAAGCAAGTTGTCAAGAATAGGCATTTAGAGTAATGGCAACCGTTATACCAGATATAGGATGCAGACTGATACAGTAGAACAAATCTATTTGTTGAAATACAATTATGTAATGTAAAGCACACTTATGAAGTGCTGGTAAAACATCCTGTATAATAAGAGACAATACAAAAAAAAAACACAGGAGTAATCAGATACAATATGAGCAAGTTCAGAAAATAAATAAAAGTCCAGACTGGAAAATATAAGTTGGCAAATTATACACTAATCACAGTTATGCTAAGCAAGTTTTTCAATATTGTACTATAATATTGTATCTATAGAGAGTCTGTCAGTTACATATAGTATTTTTTGTTTTTTTAACCCCTTACCTGTCGTTTTGGAGGTTTTAATTCATCACGGGGGACAATGTCAATAAGGAAATCAAATTGATCAAATTTTGTGATTGCCATAGCAATATCATTTCGCTGAAAAAACAAACCCGACAGAAGTTAGAACACCACAAAGAAGAAGCTACTTGTAACAATGTATAATTTTTTTGGCTGCATATACACTGAACCAAATTATAAACGCAACACTATTGTTTTTGCCCCCATTTTTCATGAGCTGAACTCAAAGATCTAAGACTTTTTCAATGTACACAAAAGGCCTATTTCTCTCAAATATTGTTAACAAATCTGTCTTAGCGAGCATTTCTCCTTTGCTGATATAATCCATCCACCTCACAGGTGTGGCATATCAAGATGCTGATTAGACCACATGATTATTGCACAGGTGTGCCTTAGGCTGGCCACAATAAAAGGCCACTCTAAAATGTGCAGTTTTATCACACAGCACACTGCCACAGATGTCGCAAGTTTTGAGGGAGTGTGCAATTGGCATGCTGATAGCAGGAATGTCCGCCAGAGCTGTTGCCTGTGAATTGAATGTTCAATTCTCTACCATAAGTAGTCTCCAAAGGCTTTCAGAGAATTTATCCTGAGAAAAGTTCACTATGGTAAACTGAAACGTTGACTGTTTGGATTAAAAGCCTTCATACTTGAGTGCTGGCTCTCTTTTGGAATCTATATCTTCGTGCAGTTGAGCACCGGGCCATTAAAGGGAGGAAAGCTGGAGTGCAAAACTTCTCCTAAATATTGTGTGTGTGTGTGTATATATATATATATATATATATATATATATATGACATCATTCTAAGTGTACCAATATATGTATTTATATGAACATTAAAATATACTACGTATGACGTTACACACACACACACACATATATATATATATATAAATATAAATAAATTTAATTTAACATGTTTATTTTTTTACACCTACCACCAGCAGGGAGACTGTCTGACAGATCCACAGCCAACTATAGTGGGACATATTTGCCGTGGGAGGGCTGCCAGGCCGACCTCCCGTAGAGGATTGCGGTGATGGTAAGTAACGCGGACCTCCTGGGGCTGCAAGCAGTTACGGCGTTCTATGTTGCCGCAACGACTTTAAAACCAATTTAATGCGGGACGGCATAGAATGCCATAACGGCGTAAAGGGGTTAAAAGTGTATGTTTGCTGGTTTAAAAAATATAGTATATAGTGTCAAGTGATGCAATTCCCTTGTTAGTTTTTAGGGTGCCCCAGCCCCTCCCTCCGTGCACCTGCACAATAATTCAAACAAAAAAACGAATTACTCAAAGCTGGCTAAGCACCGGCCTTCCCTAAAGCACAGCATGCTAGTATATGACAACCAGGAAATAAGAAATAACACTCACGACTCTCAAGAGACTTAAAGACATATTTCCAAACGCTCTAATTTTTAAAATGAAGTCATTTGGGACCACTAAGGAGTTGAGAACTACTGTAGGCACTACAGCGACCACCACATTTACATGAAGTTCTTATGTTAAGTAGTGTTCCTTTAACACCACAATCTGCCACGTTATCTCAAAAATATTGTGCAGGCCATTGTGTGCAAAGGGAATTATCTGTGTATGGGCCCGTGTGAGAAAAAGTGTGCGGATATTTATTTATGCATGTGCGTGTATAGTTCATCAATGCTTTAAAATAATCTGCACGGAATTATTATCCACCATCCACCCATGGGGAAGAAAAGGATGTACATGCATCTGCTACTCCATAAATAATTCATACTGCATCCTACAATAACTAGAAGATAGTAACTATCTTTGTTGCGGTTCTAAAGTGTACAACCCCCAAATCTAATAACCGTTTACTGAGCATATACATATCTAAACTTAGCGAATTGAATAGCCTGTTATTTTGAAAATCAGTACTCAAACAGTATCTGTACATATAAACCAGACAGTATAGTAGTTTTGTCTAGCAGTGTCCTTTGCAGGTTCAGTTCAGATTAAAATTTGAAGCAGTTTATTTTTAGAGGACTAAGAAAGGCTACAATAAAACCATAAGAGGACACAAACCATTGGAAACCATCAGCAGACGTATGAAGGCAAGAGCCTGACTGAACCAAAGCTCCAACTTCCAGTTATATTGCTTAAAAAAGGGTTTACCCTTAAATCGATGAGTCAATCAAAAAATAAAAGTTACCTGCAAAGTTCTCCTCTTGTTGTCCTCTGTGTGAATCCAAGCACGTAGTGTTAACTCTGTTATAAAAATCTGAGCAGCTTTGGCAAACAAAACTGGGGCTTCAGCACTGATCATCTAAGCTCAAGCAAAAAGAATTTGAAGTTTGACAAAAGATCAAAAATTGCACACCTAATCCATCACAATCCTTCCAATTGTAAAATAGCACAGTACACTTGACCACATTATTTTTATTTATAAAATATTTTACCAGGAAGGATACAATTTTCAAGTATGTTCTGGGTATGACCACTTGCCTTTTTCCACTGAAAATAGGATACTTAAAGGGACACTGTAGGCACCCAGGCCACTTCAGCTCATTGTAGTGGTCTGGGTGCAGTGTCCCTTTCCCCTAGTTTTAGAGAAATTGCAATGTTTACATTGAAGTACTAAGATTGCCACTAGAGTCGCTTCCTGTAGTTTGATTCCGTGAAGGGACGCTGGACGTCCTCACGCTCTGCAATCCCTTCCTATGTGGGATGTCTAATGCGTGCACAGCACATGCCTCGTATGTGCATTAGGTCCCCCCCATCAGCTCCCTTCGGAGGAAGCAAAGTGAATAAAGGGTTATATCAGGACTTGACAAATTTGTCGAGCCCTGGGTTATGCTTTACAGCGCCTGAGGAAGGAGTTTAGAGGAATACGTTTGTATACATCTTTGTATTTGTAACACTGAAGTGTTCCTTTATTAAATAAATTATTGTAATTATTAGCAACTAAAGACAAATTCAAAACTAGGACCCTTGGAATATAGTGTTTTAGCCACAAGAGAAAAGTTCCAAAACTGTGATTCTAAAATTGGCATATTAAAATGGATATTAGAAAAGCATTAATTTTATTCAAAGTGGAGCCGAAGGCTCTCTTAATCAGAATGGATATTAGTGACCAATAACCACTGGCATACATCAGACAGAAGTTCAATTGATTAATTCCATATCGTATAATACATATAATACATGTCCTGTATGCAAAAATTTACACATTTTACCTTCACATCTTCATCAAGTTTCATGATTTTTTTAATGCGAGCCAGTGGAAGCTCCTGAACTCTGAAATCCTTCTGGGTGAAAGAGCAAAGAAAGCAATCCAATCATTTTAGTCAAGAAATTCATTAGAGGAATCAAACACTTCATGACATTAAAGGAACACTCCGAGCACTAACAACTACATTAGAATTAACTTGTTATGGTGCCCATAGTGTCTTTTTTTTCCTTCAGAATATTAGGTTTACTATCAAGACACAGTAGGATAATGGAATGTGCTGAATATTTTTTTTATTTTTTTTTTAATATTTCTCTGATCCTTAGCACAATATATGGGTTTAGTCCATACATGTCTGTCTATGGTGCTTATTTACTAAACTGTGAAATGTGGCAAAATGACACGTGATGGCAAATAATGTAGGCAAACTAGACAATTCTTCAAGTCAGATATTTTTCTAGATCTGCAATTAGCCTTATAGGATTACTCCAAACATTTTAGCTTGCTGAAGGGCTGTGTGTGTCTGGAGTCATTAAAGGAACAGTATAGTCACCTAAATTACTTTAGCTAAATAAAGCAGTTTTAGTGTATAGATCATTCCCCTGCAATTTAACTGCTCAATTCACTGTCATTTAGGAGCTAAATCACTTTGTTTCTGTTTATGCAGCCCTAGCCACACCTCCCCTGGCTATGAGTGACAGAGCCTGCATGAAAAAAAAACTGGTTTCACTTTCAAACAGATGTAATTTACCTTAAAGGACCACTCTAGGCACCCAGACCACTTCAGCTTAATGAAGTGGTCTGGGTGCCAGGTCCAGCTAGGATTAACCCCCTTTTTTTTTTATAATAATAGCAGTTTCAGAGAAACTGCTATGTTTATAAATGGGTTAATCCAGCCTCCAAATCCTCCAGTGGCTGGAGGCGCTTGCGCTAGAGGCGCTTGCGTGCTTCTCACTATGAAAAATCACAGTGAGAACACGCAAGCGTTGTAAATGCTTTCCTATGAGACCGGCTGAATGCGCGCGCAGCGCCTGCCGCGAATGGGCATTCAGCCGAAGAGGAGGATCGGAGGGGGAGAAGAGGAGAGCTCCCCGCCCGGCGCTGGAATAAAGGTAAGTTTCCTTTATTTTCCTCGCCATCCAGCCCAGTGGGAGGGGGACCCTGAGGGTGGGGGCACCCACAGGGCACTATAGTGCCAGGAAAAAAAGAGTATGTTTTCCTGGCACTATAGTGGTCCTTTAAATAATTGTATCTCAATCTCTAAATTGTACTTTAATCACATACAGGAGGCTCTTGCAGGGTCTAGCAAGCTATTAACATAAGAAAATCTTAATTAAACAGAACTTGCAATAAAGAAAGCCTAAATAGGGCTCTCTTTACAGGAAGTGTTTAGGGAAGGCTGTGCAAGTAACATGCAGTGAGGTGTGACTAGGGTTCATAAACAAAGGGATTTAACTCCTAAAGTTTTTTTATTATTTTTTTTTTAAAAAGTACGTGTTTATAATTAGGGGAAAAATACTGACAGCCAGGGAGGTTTTCTACTGCTTCTATTAGCTTCACAGTACTCCTGCCTTCCCCCAGTTCTCCGTGTTGGGAAGCATAGGAAAGCTGCAAGTTACTGATTGGAGTATTGACTGGCATAGACTAAAGGTCTGTGCTGGGGAAAAAGGTGAGGGCTTACAATGTACGCACACAGCACATATGCAGCTTTTGTAAGTGGTTTTTCATATAACCCCAAAGAAAAAATGCAGGAAAAAAATACACTCATTTTCTTTTGTGGTATATTACATTTTTTTAATAAAATTAAATAAAATTCAACGGAGTGTTCTTTTATGTGAAATTAAAAGGCCAATCACCAGTCAAATTCCAGTTTTGTTAATCTGCCAACACCATTTAAAGACCAAGTAGGATTTTAGATGATATTAAACAAAAGTATATATTTAGGTATTGGGTTATTGTGCATTGAATAGACACATGGAACTTTGACTACGAGTTTTACGTTTTCTGCCTGCAAGTGGGTTCTGTCAGAAGAAAGTCTTGCCCTATTGGTATCACAGGCAGACAAGAGCCTATGCTCAGCAATATATTATTAAAAGGAACTGTCACTTCTATTTATTTATTTTTAATTAAAATTTAATCTAACAATATGAGACAAAGTAGGGATGACTTATCTTACATACACATTTGATTAAAGCTTCAATTCAGTTCTGTTTGGTAAACCTTGCAATTTCCCTCATCAGCTATCATTTGCATCAAGTTATGATAAATGTTATAATGAAGAGGTATGTCTAGGATCCTTCAGAATCTTCCATAGATACCCATTTGTATTTAGATGAACCAGCTACATCTAATGGGGATTAAAGGGACAATATAGTCACAAAAACAACTTTAGCTCAAGGAAGCAGTTCTTGTGTATAGATCATGCCCCTGAAGTCTCACTGCTCAATCCACCATGTGCAGCACAGACATTCAGCTTCACCATGCAGAGCATGGAGATGATGATCACTCCCCATAGAGATGAGGAGATGCTGATTGTCACAGCGCTTTGCGATAGCCTCCTAATGCTTTCCTATTTAGCGCTGGAAAAAAGGTGAGTAACATCAGTGGTGTTAGGAATGCATGTTTTTGTTCTTGACATTATATAGTGTTCCTTTAAATAAACGAGTTGTTTTGGCGACTAGTGTCCCTTTAAGAAAAGATAGATGTGCAGAGAATGGGGAGCTTCAGGTAAATCATACCTCCTTTCAAGTTCTACCCCAGGCACCAATAAACCTTTTTTAGCTGCAGGTCCCATTTCTGTATTTTCACAATTCCTGTCAAACCCCACATTAAATATGTTCTTTTAACACTTATTTTATTGCTCAGCAAAAAAAAACCTTGAGGATCGTTTCCACAGATAAAGCTGCCAATTAAATGAAAACGGGTACTTACCACTGTTAAATTTCGGATGTCTTCCATAACTCTTGGCCAAAATGACTGCAAGCTCTGCTGAGCATCACTGCTACCACTGCCGAAGGCCCCATCTGTTGACATGTTGAAATCTAAAAATGATACAAATTACAAATTTACACTTTTATAACAAAGGCTGTGAAAATAAAATGCCCTTCTTAGAACTTGCACTTTGGTGACATGCTAAAATTGTCTGGTATAACATACTACCTTAAAGCAGTGAGAAAACCTGTCATGACTGGTGATGTATTCATCCTCAGCAAGAAAGGCCTGCAGTGAACAGCTCTGCAGTTTCATGCATATCTGCAATGCACTACAGAACCCTAACAAAGGAATCATTCAGAGAGGAGTTCCTGCAGCAAAGACAGAAACACAGCCTCACACTGAAATGTCTTGCTCGGTATACGACAGAAATAGAGAATGTAAGGCCCTCCATGGCAAATTTCTCTATCCAGCCAGTTCATGTCCTCCTCACTATTAAGCTTCATATAAGCCCCATGATTGCCAGATTTATGTTCCTGATTGATCATGGAATGATGTTCGGAACCACACAAGAAAAAAACTTTAACCAAGCTAAATGTCCTATAAAAAACCTGTAATAAAAATAATTCTGATAGTGATCTAATGCTCTATTTATGGGCTCTTACCCACTCAAGACTCACTACTGTAAAAACTGTGTTATTGTCCCTCCCTGCATATACAAAGGCCTGTACACCAACATAATAATCAAGAGAGATTTCCACTTGCCACTAACGAATGAAAATTTTGCCCCGGTGAGTAAAAATGTAATCCTGGTGTGTGAAACTCTTTAAGCTTGCAGTTGGGGAGCAATTTATATTTTGGCTACTAGTGTAGGCCTTGACTTTTTTTTTTAGCCCTGTATAGGATACAGCAATGTTTCAGTTCTCACAGAGCTTGATCAAGACTGCTGTATCATATTCAATTAAATCTGCCTTGGATCTCTAATAGTGCCAAGTCTTCTCCGCTGCTGCTATAGATCCTGGGAGATTGGACAGCCTGGGTTGGAGGCACACTTTTTCATGTGTGACTACCCATATTTCCTTCTACGTGTAGGGTTTAATAACTGAACCCAAGGCATCAAGAGGAATGAGGCAAGGAATATAGTAGTGTTATTCATGAAGATTCAATACAGAGCTAATGGCTACAATAAAACGGTCTTTGTTGGAAGATGGTTCTGCGATGAAACAGCTTACCTAGTGGACCTTTGCTATTTAATAGGTACATTTAGAAGTCACATTTTAAATTGTTAAAATTTTAATGCTCCATACTACTAGAACGTAATGGTTTTCTTTTAATAGAATGACTTACTATGATGAAATGCTGCTTTATGTTGTAAAGCAATATAACACAACAGTAGACTGCCAATAGTTAATCGTGGAATTCCCATCTGTACTATCTTCAACTACAAACAAGCCACTAACTACTAATGAGGGTATGAGTTGTCAGATTCTAAAAATATTGCATATGTTCTTTTAAAGCATTAACAAAACCTTTAAACAGCTCCAGACACATGCCAAATGTACTTGATGCCATGAATCATAGCCGGCATGCAGCTAAATTTGGATCCACTGTGCAAGTTTTGAATTCTGTACTTTTAAACCTATGAGAAGAACCACAACCAGCAACACTGCTCAACTGAACAGATTTAAAAGCTAATTACATGTTTAAATAAGAACAGTCTTGCTTATACACTAGAAAAAAAAACAAAAACAGTTAAAGGTCACTACGCACCACAAACACACTGCAGCCTATTGTAGTGATTACGGTACATGGAAGCAGAGTATATTTTGTAAGATCATTTGAAAATGTTAGACAAAAATGGGTTCTCTCATAATCTAAAACCTGCCCTCTCTGTTGACAACGAGATGAGAAATTTCACTTCATCATTGTCTTCACAATAGGACGGTCGATAAAGAGTGGATCTCAAAGGTTACTCTGTCCACACAGAACACATAAAAAGTTAAGGCAATGAAGCTCATCAGGACTTTTGTGTTGAGAAAATGCCACGCATTTTAAATGGGTTTACATAGAGCATGTATAAATACAAGAGTGGTATGATCTATGTTTGAGACTTATCGCATTATAAAAAAAAAAAATCCAGGAATTAAAAGTGAATTTAAAAATTTAGGCCAAATAAGAAAAAAAAGTATCACTGTTATGGCCTTGAATTGGTCTTTAGAGTATAACCCTGTCTTAGATGCTTTAATTATAACAAGTTGCATATGACATTCTTCAGTCTTTCAAGCAGAAGTGCAAATATCCATCGGTGTTGTGTCGCGGCTCTACCTCCTCCGACGTTACTGACAAGGGGGCGCTAAGTCTTGGTGATTGCCCCATTAAGACCAGCCCAAAGGAAATCATTGTATCAAGTTTTCCTATGGAGAAATAGCGGACGCTGGCTGTCCTCATACAAAGTGTGAGGACAACCAGCATCAGTTACCGGACCAAACATCAGTAAAAGGATCACTACAGTGTCAGGAAAACAAAGCAGTTTTCCTGACACTGTAGTGCCCTGAGGGACCTCCTCCCGTGGCGCTGAAGGTTAAAACCCCGTCAGCCACTTACCTTAATCCAGGGAGCCTGGCGCTGGTGACCTCTCCTCCCCGTCCGAAGTCACTGGAGCCGAATGCGCACGCATTCAAAGTGTCCATGGGAAAGCATTTCTCAATGCTTTCCTATGGACGCTCTGCATGATGGAGACAAAATTTGCCTCCAGCGTCGCAGATGCGCCTCTAGTGGCTATCCGGAAGACAGTCACTAGAGGCTGGATTAACCCCAAATGTAAACATAGCAGGTTCTCTGAAACTGCTATGTTTACATGTGAAGGGTTAAAACCTGAGGGACCTGGCACCCAGACCACTTCATTGAGCTGAAGTGGTCTAGGTGACTATATTGTCCATTTAACATCCAGGAAGCACCTCAAGTGGCTCTCTGGCAGACAGTTACTGGAGGCAGACTTAGTACTGCAATTTAAACATTGCAGCTTCTCTGGAACTGCAATGTTTTACATTGCAGCACTAAGTGCAATACCAAAACACTGTGCCCAAACCACTTCAACGAGCTAAGGTGGTCTGGGTGCCTATAGTGTTCCTTAATAATATTTAAAAAGTACATTGACTGTAAAAGGCCACTGAACATATTACCTGAACTTGAATGTAGAAAATTCTGTTTTCTGTTAAAGAAACATGCATCCTGAATAAGACAATTGTCTAACAATAGGTGCTTGTCCCTTTAACAGAGAACTGTTGGACTTTCTATATTTAGATATGTGCATTGGCAGTTTACAGCCAAACTATGACGAAAAACATTTAATTGACAAAATAAATACTGCTGCAACTTCTGCAAGTAGGTTATTACATCTAACCCTCTAGAATGTAAGCTCATTGAGTAGGGAACTCAACCCCTCTCTTCTTGTGCGCCCAACTTGTCTGGTTACAAATTCTTGACTGTTATTCCACCTAATGGGCTGCACTGAGAAATTTGTTGGTGCATTTTAAATAGTAACAATATTCAGCAAAAACCAAAGGGGGAAAAGTTACCTGCGCTCTTCCCAAATCCCGATGCATATTTAGGAAGAGCGCATGCAACTTTTTTCCTTTGGTTTTTACTGTATGTATTGGAGCTTATGTGTACTATGGTAATTGCTGCCACCCAAGAGTAGTGGGAGTTTGAGCGCAGGACTTTTTGTGTATTAATAATCAGCAATAGCATTTCCTGCATTAACCATAAGTCTCCCTCCTCCAACTCTTGGTTAAGTCCTTTTGTGTTAACTACTTGCTTTCAACAGAAAGGAGCATCCTCTCATACTCTGTTATAACTGTAAAGTGGCATCAACAACAAATTAATTTCCCTAATAGTGTAAAAAGGACATTCAAAGCACCAAAACCTTCCTAGAATCTAAATGTGCAGTGTTTCTATTTGAAACACTATACATTCAGAGTAATTTGCACTTGTGTGCAGGGAGCTACTTACATTCCTGGTACACATGACTTAAACAGGTGACTTGATAGAGAAGCCTGTGATGGGACTACACAAGTGCAGGGATGAAGTTAGGAAAGGAAAAGTAACCGCACACCCTGGCGCTGGATTCCAGGTATGTTTAAAACATTTTTACAGGTTTTAAGGGATGGGGGACCTTTTCGTAATGCCCCATAGGGCACTGCAAATTAAAAATAAAATGTTTTTTTCTAAAGGATTGGGGTAATCCAATAAGTATTTTGAGATAGATTATATATATATATATATATATAGATATATAGATATATAGATATATAGATATATACACACACACACACACACACACACACACACACACAGGTGATACCCGAAAAATTAGAATATCGTGCAAAAGTTCATTTATTTCAGTATTGCAACATAAAAGGGGAAACTAAAATATGAGATAGACGCATTACATGCAAAGCAAGATAATTCAAGCCGTGCTTTGTCATAAGTGCAATGATTATGACTTACAGCTCCGTAAACATCCACATAAAAATACTGTTTGCCTGCAAATGTAAATATTATGGGTTAACCAATAGATAAAAGTATATATAATACACGCATAGACAAACAGATAAATACTTAGTATGTATATCTGTGCGTATGCATGTATTATATAGAATTGTAATTTGTTGCAAATTACTAAACTTTTGAGTTACAGAAAATGGCAGCATTGACCTGATGCCACTTAGTACCTAATTCTGCTCTGGGTGTTTTCTTTTAAAACCTTATGCCATAATCCCCTGTCAAACCAGATGTTATGGGATATGTAGTTTAGTCCCTAGCCAAGTTCACCTCATTACATAGGATGATTGAAAGTGCTCAAATTGCTGACCAACTATATTGCAGTTCATTTACAACCCAGTTCATGGGACTTTGTCAGAGCTGTAATAGGTTATGAAATGCTGACTTAAAGGAACACTCCAAGCACCATAACTAATATTGCCTGCTTAAAATGTGTTATTTTTAAAGAACTAGCACTACAGCTTCCTAAAGTGCCACCGTCCCTTGTCCCCCTTCTGTCCCTTACCCAACTGTAGCGCAATGTCCCATGGCACTGGTTTCGGCTTCGCCTCCATGCCACGTCAGCCGGTGGAGGGACCTAATACACATGTGCGGGGATGGCTGCACCCATAGAAGAAAAAAAAAAAAAAGTATACTGCTTTCCTATGTGGTTTTGAGTGCAAAGCGTGAGGACGTCCAGCGTCAGGCAACCAAAAGTCGCCTAATGACTCAGAAATCCCTCTAGTGGATTTAAACCACTAATGTACGTGTTGCAGTTTACCAAAAATTAAATCATTACAATTACAGGCTTAAGGGACCTGGGACAATGCACCCAGACCACTTAAAATGGACCGAAGTGGTCTGGGTGCCTAAGATGTCACTTTAAGCACATTGGCAGTGCCAGCAAGGTGGATTGTGAAGAGATTTGGTTAGGCAACAAGATATTGTTGACTTGAGGTGGTTAAAAGGGGAGAGTTTGATATGTTATAAAAGTCAATGAATGAGTTATGCAGAGGCAGGATAGCTCATTGTCTTCAAATTGGCAAAATAAATGCAGTTCCATAGAAGGGTTTATTGTGCAGGAATCGTGCTAGCGGCAAATTGTATGCTCAGTCAATGCTAGACATTCTGAGATAAGAAGTGGAAGGAGGTAATAGTAGTACGTGAAAGGCTTAAGAAAGCCACAAATAAAAAAAAAGAGGGGATGTCCTTTTAACACAGGGTTGAACATACAAATCCCGTAATTTATGAAATATTATTATTAGCTTTCTAAAGTTTGGTAGGCCAAGCTACCATGATTTTGTATAAACCATTTTGGTTCTAATGAATATACAGAGAACACTCTTCAATAAGCAACTTCTATATTGAGCATTGTGTGTGAATAATAAATAATAAATAATATATATATATATATATATATATATATATATATATATATATATATATAAAATATAAAATATTCAAATACTTGCACTCCTGTAAAGATAGGTTAATGCCTGGTGCTAATAAAGCAAATAACATAAAAATAAAATGGTATATATATATATATAAATAAAAAATATACCTCTCTCGATATATATGATCAAGCCGAGCTTTAGGTAACGGTTTACCCATCTCCATAGTGATACAGCGGCTTCCCGCGTCACTGTGGAAACATGTCAGAAGTCATTACAGCCTTTTAATGGGTGGAGCACGTCCGCGCATGCGCTGTACACATGGTAGGATGCTGGAGGTGATGCACAGCAGCTTCGGTGAGTCAATTAATCAATCCCTTTACACATATATATTCTTGCAGACTCTAATATGTATTGTGTGTTTTGATCCTGAGGAAAGTCCCAGGAGGTACTGAAACTGATCTTTTAAACTTTTTCTCAAATAAAGTATTGAATATTTTAAGACCGGAGTGCAGCCACCTTCATTACCGTGTATAAAATTTATATCCCAGGCGTTTGGCACCCAGCAATTTAAGGGACATTTGAGCTTGTGTTCAGGGATTTGCAAGTATTTTTATATGGTGTATAACTATACACCAACTTAAAAGCTCACAAAAACAATGGGGAATTAAAGGGACACTAGTCACCCAGACCACTTCAGCTCTATGAAGTGGTCTGGGTGCCAGGTCCCTCCGGTTTTAACCCTTCACATATAGTTTCAGAGAAACCTGTTTACATAGCAGGGTTAATCCAAACTCTAGTGGGTGTCTTCTTGACAGCTGCATCTGCAACACTGAATGCGAAATCCGCATCCAGCGTGCAGAACGTCCATAGGAAAGCATTAAGAAATGCTTTCCTATGGACTGCTTGAAGAAAGCGCGCGTAGGTGCATTCCGCTCCACACGGGAGCCCACGTCGGTGGGGGAGGAGAGGTCACCAGGTTTGTTTTCCTGACACTATAGTGATCCTTTAAATATGATATATGATTATACATTGCAGAAGCCTGCTACAACACCCCTGTAACCTATTTTTGTATATATGCATAATTACCAATACATTTTTAACACTTACAGTGTTATTGTCTAAGGTGAGAAGTACATTTCAAATTTAAGGCCAGAGTAGCTGAACTAAAAGCAAAACTAACACCTTTTTTCCAGTTTAACTATTTTGAATGTATATATATATATATATATATAAAAAAAAAAAAAAACAGTCATTATAACCCTGTAACTTTTAATGTTGTTTTGACCATCTATTTTAACCCCTTAAAGGACCACTATATATGCACCCAGACCACTTCAGCTTAATGAGGTGGTCTGAGTGCCTGGTCCATCTTAGGTTAATCCTTTTTACTATAAACATAGTTTCAGAGAAACTGCTATGTTTATGTTAGGGTTAATTCAGCCTCTGACCTTATGATTGGATAATCACACATCCTGTGACCTCAAAGGGAGGATCCGAATCAACTTTAGAGCACTTATAAAGTGGAAGATTCCTGAGGCTACTTCACAGCTACTGAGGAAGCTCATACAAGAGTGAAACGCGTTTAGCTGGAGTTTGGACTTTTATACTTGGACTTTCCATCATTTAGCTTATGTGCTTTTGAGAAGTCTAAATATTGTTTTTATTATTATTTTTTTATCTCTACAATAAATTGTTATTTTTTTATATATTAGTCCATATAGTCCTTTCTAGCCTCCAGGAACACCATGTGGGGAATGCTATCCCAATAAATTAGCACATTGCCAACAAACCTCAGAGGCAGGAATTCAAGGCTCTGTCTAAGGTGAGCATATCTATTACTATCTCACTATATTGTATACACCATCTGTACAATACCACCTATGAGGCTCTCTCTCTCTGTTTGTTCCATATCTTCGGGAGAATATCGTTTGGGATAAAGGGGTGTGTTGCTGCCTCAAGAGCAAGAAGGAGTCACTTACGGAGCCAATAGCTTATAGGCTCCAACCCACGTGAGTGGTTTCAACCAATTGCTACCATTATTCATTTTTTTATTTTTTATTTTATTTTTTGTAAACCATCTGCACTATATTCTCTCTCTTTGTTGTTTTACTTTGCATGTACATTTGGACACATTGTATCACTATGTTGGAGGGGTGAGTATACCCCCTCATTATTTATATATATATTCAATATAGCGCTCCACTTGCTGGTATATTGTTTATACCTTTTTTTCTTTTAATTCAGCCTCTAGTGGCCGTCTCATTGACAGCCGCTAGAGGGCTTCCATGTTTCTCACTGTGAAAATCACAGTAAGAAGACGCCAGTGTCCATAGGAAAGCATTGTGAATGCTTTCCTATGGACTGGCTGAATGTGCGCGCGGCTCCTGCATTCAGCCGAAGAGGTTTAACCCCTTCCACCCCCTAGAGCCCGTGAGTATGTTTTCCTGGCACTATAGTGGTCCTTTAAGGACAGAGCTTCAGAAGCTTGTCTTTCACTTAATGACAACAGCATTGTTTTCATTTTTTGCTGTTTGTGTTCAACTGCAATTTGCATTTTACTAATTTATTGCACCAACACATATTATATATAGTTTTTTAAAGGACAGAAAGGGCTTTAATTTGATAACACACACACACACATATATATATATATATATATATATATATATATATATATATATATATATATATATATATATTATAAAAAAAAAGAATGCAAAAAATGAAAATGTGTGTTTTTGTTTTGTTTTGTTTTTTACAGTTTTGCAATAATGTGTGCATAATTAGTAGGTTAAGGAGAAAGTAATTAAAAATAAATTAATTTAGTTGTTCTGATTTACAGAATATATAATGTGTGGGATTTTAAGTTTTTTTTTGGTAGTTACAGGTCAGGTATATTTTTGCAAACCTTGTGTGTTACCAGTGTATATGTGCTGTTCATATGTTGCTCAACTATGTCGTCTGAGTACAGCAATACCCCCGCATGTACTTAGCCAGGTATATGTGGATGTTGAAGGCATTTGAGGCAGCCATTCATTTTTAACTTTGGGGTTTATGCAATGTCCATGTTCCAATTTGTAGTTTAGATGGTTGGTTATTAAATTTCCCCAAACACCTACCTTTGATTAAAAGAATTACACCCTGGGTAATTCAAAAGGAATATTTTGAACCTTAGCGTGGGATCATTTTTTTTCTCCTAGTTTGTTCCAGGTGGCCAGTGGTAATGAGTTTTTAAATGTATTTTTTACTTTTTGAAACTTTTGTTTTGCTTATTAATTTTTTAAAACTTTCCTAAAACTTTTTTGTTTTTTTTGTTTTTTTACAGATTTAAAATTTTCTAAGCTTTTCTTTTTTTACTGTTAACCCCTAACTATCAGTAAGCAAAACAGTAAATTTCCAATTTTCCCATAACTCCCACCCACCCCAGCTAGCAAAATATATAATTATAAAATATTTAAATTAAATAAATTGAGCCCCTGAGGGTTAAAAAATAAATAAAAGTTAATCCTCAGGGATTAAAAAATTAGAATCACAGTATAATACTGTGATCTGTATTTTGATCACTATGTGAGCAGTGATCGACTGGCAGGGAAGGGGTTAATTTTTATTTGACTGGGTAAAGGTTTTTTTTTTTTTTACTTAAAAGTTATAAAAACTTTTTTTTTAGCTTCATTTTTAAGTTTTTAGCTTTTTTTTTTTTAAAGTTAACCCCTAATTAGCCTAACACCAAATCCCCCAATTCCCCACTAACTTCCATCCACCCCAGCTAGCTAAATATATAATTTAAAAATATTTAAATTAATTAAATAAATTTAACCCCTGAGGGTTTAAAAAAAAAAAAAATTAAAAAAAAAATCAGATGACGGTAAAATGTAATCCCTGCCAATTGATCACTGTAGCCAGTGATCAATTGGCAGGGAAGGGGTTAATTTTTTATTAAAATGGGTAAAGAGGGGTGGGATTTTAAATTAACTTTTTTTATTTTTATTTTTTACACAGGGGGCAGGATCAACACTGTTCCGGCTCCCTGCACTTCACACAGAACCAGGAAGTGCAAGGATGCGGAAGGTGAGTATATGCAACACATGTGCTCGCTCTGACAGGCTGTCAGAGCGAACACATGTGCTGGGGCAGCGAGATCGGGTGCTCCCGGTCTGCCTCTAATACAGAGGCAGACCGGAGCACCATTAACCCCGCTATCGCTGCGATAGTGGCGACCCGGGCTTAATTTTAACAGGTGACAAACCGTTTTCCTGGCACTAGAGAATCATGGAGTGCCCCCCTCCCTCCCATTACATGTCACTAAAGGGGTTAAAACACCTTTAGCTACTTACCTGATTCCAGCACCGATGTCCCTCGGCGCTGGGTCAGGCTCCTCCCCTGCCGACGTCAGTCTGACAGGCTGTCAGAGCGAGCACATGTGCTGGGGCAGCGAGATCGGGGCAGACCGGAGCACCATTAACCCTGCTATTGCGGCGATCCGGGGTTAATTTTAACGGGTGTCCGTCACTCGTCGTTATGGCAACCCCCTGAGTGACAGACCTGGCACCGTTTTCCTGGCACTAGAGAATCCTGGTGTGCCCCCCTCCCTCCCATAACATGTCGCTAAAGGGGTTAAAAACACCTTTAGCAACTTACCTCAATCCAGCACCGATGTTCCTCGGCGCTGGGTCCGGAGACCTAATGCGCATGCATGGCAATGGCCGCGTGCATTAGACCTCCCCATAAAAAAGCATTGTTCAATGCTTTCCTATGGTGAAAATCTGACGCTGGAGGTCCGTGAGGACCTCCGGCGTCAGATAACAGACCAAAAGCCCTCTAGTGGCTGTCTGCTAGACAGCCACAAAGGGCAATCTTAGAGCTGCAATGTAAACATTGCAGCACTTAGTGCAAAAGGGTCACAGCACCCCGACTACTTCAATTAGCTGAAGTGGTCTGGGTGCCTGGAGTGCCCCTTTAGGTATAGAACAGAGTTTATGGCTTAGTTCAATCTTTTTATGTTTCTCTCTTTTGCTGCTTTTGTCAGTCGTTTGATTCTGGATTGTTTGCAAGATGGTGCAGGGGAATACATACATCACATAGTTATCACTGACCCGGGTAAATAAGTTGATAGCCATACTACAGCTGCTGTTCGCCCATTCACAGGCCAGTTCACAGTTTTGTAAACTGGGCTGGCTTGCAGGATCTCCCAAGAACCAACCACACCTGAGTGTAGAAGCCACAGATTTTGGTCACTCTAAAGGAGGGGAGACATATCCATTCCATTAGTACATGTGACAATAGTACAACTTAAATGATGGAGTAGTACAAAAGGGAAATCAATATATATTTTTTTAATTAGTGGCAGAATTAAGGCAGTCTTACAACAACAGCAAGATTTTAATATGGCTGCAGTTATTCTCCACTCTGTACAGTGAGAGGTGTTTCAATGATTCATTAGAGTGACTAAATTTAAAGTGTTTGCAATAGTTCTACACCGTGATACATGTAACGGTTTGATAAACTAAAACCAGTGTAAACATTTAAATTAAGTTTTATAACATATACCAGAGTAAACAAGTCTGTTTTGAAACCATCCCTAAACTGTAGCAGGCATTTAACAGATTATGTAAAGTCCAACACATTTGAGACTAGACTGCAAAAATATCACTGGATTTCTGTCTCCATCCTCACTGCTAAAATACATCAGCTTGTTCTTATTGATCTTATGTTATGGCTTTACTAGAGCACAGATCTTACAAAAAGGTCAATAAAAGAATCCTAGCATAATTCAATTTAACTGCAGCATAAAGTGAATCTCTATAGATATTCCTGATTAAGTCCAGTTTTTTTTTATTATAGTTTACACCAATGCAGATAGAATTTTAGTGTTTTATCTTAAAAAAGCTTAAAGGGTTACTCTAACTCTTTTTTTATTTTAGTTAACATTGTGCATTACTGACTTGTGAAGACAGACAAAAGAAGGAGGAGGGGAGGTTAAAGCTTTCCCATGCTGTCTTCAATGGTAGAAAGCTTTGTACGTCTGTCATCATCCCGCTGTGCGCACTGAACACCGTACTATTTTCTTGCACAGAACTGACATTAGGTTCTGGGCAGCCTAAGTCATGTGTGCCTGAGATGAAACATAGCACCTGGCACAAAAGTGATAAAATCTCAGTATGTGCAGCACTTCAAGCAGTTGGCATATAGGGTGTGCTGTGTGTTTCTTTGTATGAGGGACGGATTCTACTATGCATGGCAGTTCATGCTCATAATTTATGAAAGTAACAGTAAGCACGCAGTGTTCAGGATGTCAAAAGTGTGCTACTTTTTCAAACCTTTCCTACGGAAAATATTTGGACAAGCATATTTCAGCGGTCAGCACTTACGGTGACAATCCAGTCACTGCAAGGACAAATACTGCTGTACAGATCCATATAGCACTATATTCACTGAATCCTTAACTATGAAAAAAATATGAATGAGAAATATTTATGACGCAAGGGTTATGAGTAATTTTATGGTTAACTCCTCCAACATTCTATAAGAAAAAACCACATAGTGAGACAAAATTACTTTTAAACAATCACTATTAGCTAGGTGCAAACCATAGAAGCACTCCCTCAAGTGCTTAAAACACAATAATCACTATATGATACAAAATGCACACTATAACACTCACTGATATTAAGTATAAATCATTAATAAGTATGCAAATAAAAAAAGTCATGTTGTACAAATAGGAACAGAGTAACATTACAAGGCAAACTGCACACAAAATAATATATTCAAACCTTACAAGCCTTAAGGCAGAGACACAATTCACCAAGTTGGTGACTTGTGTCTCTCTGCCTTAAGGCTTGTAAGGTTTGAATATATTATTTTGTGTGCAATTTGCCTTTTACGGTTACTCTGTTCCTATTTGTACAACATAATTTTTTATTTTTTTTATTTGCATACTTATTAAATATTTATATTTAATATCAGTGAATGTTATAGTGTGCACTCTATATCATATAGTAACTCCTCCAACATTACCTTTTGATTTGCAAACGACTGACTTTCAGATTAATGTCCATGGCTAAGGGTTTTCTTTTTTGCTTTTGTGGCATTTTTCTCTATTATGCAATAAGGTGGGGGGGACATTGTTTTACATTGTAAATTGTTTCAATATATGTGTCCCTATACATGTAAAAACATATATACAGACTTTGACAGAGCAAAACAGAGCCCTTTAAAGGAACACTAGCGTTGAGAATAAAAAAAAAATGTATTTCTAACATGTTATATTATAACTAGATTATTAACCAAATTAATACAAATACATTGTTTCACCGTAGGGAAGCATTGTGAGCCTGTGCGTCAATCACCAGGCAGTGCCAATCAACATCTCTCCATAGAGATGCACTGACTCAATGCATCTCTATGGTGTTTAGCGTCTTCATGCAGTGGAGATGCTGAATTTCAGTCCTGCAGTCTTGGAAGCCCCTGTAGTGGCTGTTCGAATGAAACCTGCTAGAAGTGGCGTTAGACAGCACTTTAGAAATATTATATATATATATATATATATAAAATAAAATAGAAAGTGAAGTAAACAATCTACATGTTGCTGGCTATACAGTGTCGGGTGCTGCACCTGAGAGTGCGTGGCAGCACATGCATCAACTTTTATTTGACACCTTGGAGGTAACTCCACATATTTTAATATTGTGAAAAACAAAAAAATGAACAGTTTATAATGTTTCATGTTAATGTAACATTATTTTGTTAGGCATACAATCCTGCATTCCTAACGATATAGTGTTCCTGTCCCTAGTACTACAAAGGTCCTCAAACTGCTTTCAAGTGAGTTTTACTTACCTTTTACAGATCTTAACCTCCCTTGTCACTACTCACTTCCCCACATCCTGCAAAGTCACGGAGGAGGCATGGCCTCTTCTGCCTATGTCCAATCCAAGTGCATGTTGTGGCTGTCATACTGATGATGATCTCAGCCAATGAGGACAGACCAGTGTGGTGATGGAAAAAATGTAAGCAAGTTTCCTTTAAATAGGTAGCCCAGCACTATCTATAACGTTAGGAATACACGCTGGTATTACTCATATAATAGTGTACCTTTAATGAAGAAGACTCTCTTTGGAATATCTAGATACAGATGCAGACCTCATACAGTGATTTCCTGCAACAACGTCATTGTCTGCTTGGTATACCCTACTGTAAGATTAAATAGGATTCATTAAGGTGGGCAGTTCAAAAGGAATATTGATTTAAGATAAGCAACTCCTAGATGTAAGATTGTAGATTGCTTGTTTAAGCAGGGTCTTCTTCACCTTTTGTCTAGTGACTTAACATTTGTTAATAACTGCTCAAAAGGTTTGTATGATTTCTTAAACTTGTGGATATTTACAAGACTGTGTGTAATATAATAGAATATACACACACATTTTTGCCATACTAATGTTTGTAAGTATGTTTATAGATGTCCATGGCTTTATTTTAGATCTTACACCCCAGTATACATTTCCAGCTGTTTGCAAGTATGCATACAGCCATAAAAGAAATAAAAATTAAAAATAAAGCACAAAAATTAGTGCAGAGAGTTATTAATTGAAAGAATGCTTGAATTTGAATATATATATATATATATATATATATATAAATATATATACACACACATACATATATATACACATATATATACATACATACATACACACACACGCTAAAATAACATTAGAATGTTTGTTTATACTCAAATTCTTGGTACATACATATACAAACCCCAAAATGTTATGGATTATACAGCTGCACTCTTTCCTAAACTGATTTTTCCACACAAACAAACTTTGTCCTTCATTCTCCAAAACTCTAAAGCAGTAGCATTTCAAGGTCATGTTGGCTGAAGAAGGCCTCGTTTCAGCAACATGAACTGAAGCGAGAAAACTCAGATGCAATGTGGAAATAAACCCACGACATGGGGTTGAGTTCTTTTTGTCAATCAGGCAAGCCCTAGGTATAAAACTTTCTCACACCAACTAGAGCACTGTGATTGTGGCCTTCAGAACACTGCTAGTATCAGGTTTGGTATGTGTTGATGCACAACTAACATTCCAGTGACCTTCATACCTTATTTGCAGATCAAGCAGGAATAAGTAACTCCTGTGCTAAATTGTTACTTATTAAAATATATTTAAAATATAGCCATTATTCAGGTTTAACAATTAGCAACCTGGAATAGTGATGAATATTGAAAAAATTAATTTACGTGTGCAAAAAAATCAATATTCTCTCAAAATCCTAAATAATATTCACTGAGGGGTAACAACCTCTAGCAAATGGTACATAATGTATTTCAATGCTAATGAAAAGAAACCAAATCTATAACTAGTCTAAGTGGCTAAGAGACTGCAATAGAACTAACGGCTATCTGAATAATACAATTTTTACATTTAAAAACAATAAGGAGGCCCACAGCAATTAAAAGTAAAAAAAATTAAGTTCACCCAAAAAGCACCACAAGTTACATCTGCTAGATATTCCCATCCCCCAGTAATAAACAAATCAATCATACAGCGAGATGTTCAAAGGATGCAAAAATCACACTGATATTCTGGCAGTGAAACAGTTAAGGAAATCTTACAATTGTGCACGAAAACACACCTTTAAAAAATAATTACATTAAAAAAAAAAGAAACATTTATATATAAATTTAGAAAGTGTGCATCTACAGAGTTTTGACTTTTTTTTATATATATATCATGCTGAAGATTGTTGCCTTGCACAAAGCCCTTTCCTAGGAATAATTTAGTGCACTTTGTTCAGGTTCTTGCCACTAAAACATATAAAGCAAAAGTCGGAAAGCAGGCTGAGCCTGGAAAAATACAAACTCAACAGAGCAAGAGGTGCAGCAGAAGGTATGTTAGGAATGTACGGGGGGCCATTTTCTTAGACAGAACAAACTTGAGATTCTGAAAAGGAGGAAAACTGCTTAAACCACTTCAAAACAAACAAAAATGCAATAAAATACACTTACCATGACCACTAAAATATGCTTTGACTAGTCACTTTTCCTCGATGCTGTGAGAAAGCTCAAGCATTTATAATTTTCCCCTTCAGCTCCACTCTCACTGAACCTCCTCCCCCCTCAGGAAAGAGAGAGGGAAGGGGGAAAAAAAGAGGAAGAAAGGACAAAGGCAAGAGGACACATGGAAGGAAAGGCTGTGGAAGATCCATTTTAGATACTGAGCCAACAAGAGCCATTATACTTGCAAACTCCTCGCCATTTTTCTTTGTCTTTCAGCTGACCCCTGTCTAAGAGAAAAACTCCCAAGTCTCCAATGAAAAATCCTGCAGCCTCCTTCCACTTTAACAGTCAAAGGCATTCAATCTAGCTTGCTACATGACACCAAGCCCCTCCTCCACAGCTTCCCTATTTGCTAGTCCTTGTTATTTGAGGATACTGTACGGCTGCCATAGGTGGACAATCTCATCAATCACCTCCCCTGTAACACTTCCTGTTTAAAGTTACCTTGAGATGAACAGGGGTCAGAGCAAAAGATTTTAAAGAAGGGGACAACATTTATAAAATACATTAACGCTTTGTGAAGCAGCAAACATCAGAGCAGTGAAGCATCAAAGTTAAACACTTAGAATATAAAATACAGTAGTCCAGAATTTAGCAACCTATAATTCTAAACATCTACAGTAATATACTCTGATTGCAAAACATGGCAGATATGCAATGAAGATTGAAAATATACATACAGAATTCTATACACACAGATCTAATAAACAAAATAATCAAAATATACATTTTAATACAAGCAGGACTAGATTTAAAAGTAGGAAATTAATTACGGTTATGGACTGGAGGGATGACGTCACTCTTGCATTAAAAGTTGTAAAAAGTTAATTATGCGTTATTCACAATTGTCAGCAATCAACCAGGGAATTGCAATTGAGATGGATTTATAGGCAACAAAGACTTTTTGCAATTTGATATAAAACTTGCAACTAACGCCCCAGTGAATTTTCAACAATTCACATTTTAGTGAATAAGCTCATTCTGACAGTTTTCAACAATCTAATGGCAATGGGTTAACAATTTAAAAACCTGAAACCAGCACAATCCAGAACTTTTGCACCTGAATCAGCACCTAAAAGCAATTCATTAGAAAACAGGTATGTACAGAAAGGTCACTCTAAATCCAAGGTCAAAAGGAAATGATTACTGCAGTAATACTCCAACAATGTTGAAGGAGAAAATTAATTTCAGCTCTGATTGAGATAACATTTCACAAAGCTCAAAAGTGAGTATTTTAATATTTATGAAGGGTTTTAAAATTCAAGATAAAACTTACGGAGAAGGCCAGCCCCTAAGCAAGCCTCTGCAAAATGACAAATACGCCATTAGGATTAAACAAACATAAGGATTCCCAAAGAGGGTATTGAATCTTCAAAAGGAAACAACAAAAGCACCAGAATATGACAAACTGAACTTACAAAGCTCCATACAAAACAAAAATAATGATATACATATATATCATTGAATTCTATAGTTTTACATATCTTCCCTACACAGTGTCATAACTGAACAAAAATAAAGTCAAAATGGAGAAGCCAAAAACTAAGAAAACCCTATGATTCAATAGCTTATAGAATCACCTATAGCAGCAATATCTTGACATAATTGTTTTTTGTATGACTATCAGTCTCTCACACTGTTGTAGAAGAATTTTGGCCCACTCCTCTTTACAACGTTGCTTCAGTTATTATTATTATTATTATGATATTTATAGAGCGCCGTTAAATTCCGCAGCGCTTTACAACGGGTGGACTAACAGACACGTAGTTGTAACCAGACAAGTTGGACACACAGGAACAGAGGGGTTGAGGGCCCTGCTTACATGCTAGAGGGAGTGGGGTAAAATTACACAAAAGGTAAGGATAGTATTAGACTAGTGACAGTTGCAGAAGAGGAATCAGTCAGGAGCTATTAACAGTTTAATTGATATGCTTTTATGAAGAAGTGGGTTTTTAACCATTTTTGAAGGAGTGGAGACTGGGTGAGCATCTTACGGAGGAGGGAAGCGAGTTCCACAGGAATGGTGCAGACCTTGAGAATTCTTGAAGGTGAGCATCAGAGGTGGGAGTACAGACAGAAGATAGACGTAAGTCTTCAGCAGATCGTAAGGGCCTAGAGGGGACATACTTGTGTATAAGGGAGGAGATAGATAGGTGGGAGCAGCATTATGTAGAGATTTGAAAGCAAGAACCAGGATTTTAAATTGAGCTCTATATTTTATAGGAAGCCAATGTAGGGACTGACAGAAGGGTGAGGCATGGGAGGTGCGGGCGGACAGGAAGATGAGCCTCACCGCCGCATTCATTATGGACTGTAACGGCGCTAGTCGGGAGCACGTAAGACCACTGAGAAGCGGATTACAGTAGTCAAGGCGAGAAAGGACAGTGGAATGGACCAACACAGTCGCATCTGGTGTTAAGTAGGGGCGGATGTGCACAATGTTTTTGATATGGAAATGACAGGATTTGGCGATAGATTGAACATGAGGCTTGAAGGAGAGGTCGGAGTCAAAGAGAACAACTAGGCAGCGAGCCTGCGTGGTGGAGCTGATGGTAGCACCGTTGACTTGGAGGGAGACAGACACAGGAGTAACAACACTTGAGGGAGGAAAGACCAGAATTTCAGTTTTGGTCAAGTTTAGTTTAAGGAAGTGGGCAGCCATCCAGTTAGAAACAGCAGAGAGGAAGTCAGAGACACTAATCAAGAGGGATGGGGAGAGATCAGGTAGATTTGCATGTCATCTGCATAGAAATTATATTGGAAGCCAAAGGAGGTAATAAGTTTACCAAGGAAGGCAGTATAGATGGAGAACAGTAGGGGACCAAGGACTGAACCTTGGGGGACACCAACAGAGAGGACTTGGGGAGAAGAAGCAGAGCCATAGAAAAAAAGTTCACAGAGTTTTGTTGGCATTTGTTTATGCAAAGCTCTCTTAAGGTCTTGCCATAGCATTTCAATTGGGTTGAGGTCTGGACTTTGACTGAGCCATTCCAACACCTTGATTCTTTTCTATTTTAGCCATTCTGTTGTAGATTTGTTGGTGTGCTTGGGATCGTTGTCCTGTTGCATGACCCAATTTATATTATATATTGGTATGGTCTTTCCAAAGGTAATTTTTTCATAAGTCTTGTGGTTTGTTCAGATGCAACTTTACAAGCATAAACCGTCCTGCCACGTTCTTTTTCGAGAGAAGAGGCTTTCTCCTGGCAACCCTTCCAAACAAACCTATATTTGTTAAGCCTTTTTCTAATTGTACAGTCATGAGCTTTAACATTCAACATGCTGAGTGAGGCCTGTTGAGTCTGAGATGTAACTTTTTTTTTTTTCCCAATTTCTTTGAGCATTACACAGTCTTTCCACTAGGGATCGACCGATTATCGGTGTGGCCGACATTCTGTATTCTCGGCAATATCGGTATCGGTCTACAGGTATGCCGATAATGGAGACCAGGACTGCCGGCCCCATAACAAGCCCGGCGGTTCTTGGGGCCTGCAGCAAGCTCTTACCTTCAAAGCAGCTACCCTGTCTAAATCCAGCGGCCGTCAAGAGCGTTTCCACCGGTTACCATAGCAACGCTCTGCGCGGCACGCTGGTCGCAAGATTAAGACAGGGGAGCTGCTGGGAAGAGCTTGCTGCGGGTGCCCACTGTACAGTCCATGCCACCGGACCACCAGGGAATGCAAATTAACTATACACACACACACACTGCATCATATATATATATATATATATATATATATATATATATATATATATATATATATATATATATATACACACACACACACACACACACACACACAAACACAACACACATATTGATGAGGATAAAAAAATTCTGTCTGGCATGTATATTTTGTACATTTACCTTAATAAGAAAAAAAAAATGCAAATAAACACGTTCGGTTAACAGTAATATCGGTAGTTATCGGCTATTGGCCTGAAAGTTCACAGATTATTGGTATCGGCTTTAAAAAAAAAAAAACATCAGTCGATCACTACTTTCCACTTTTGAATAATCTTTCTCACTGTATAATGATAGACTTTAAATATTTTGGAAATTGCCTTATAACCCTTCCCAGTTTAATAGTCAGCAAAAATTATAGAGGTGGTTACACTTGCTGATAATAAGGGCATTTGATTAGCAGCACCTATCTGTAACTTAGTATCTCCATTTAGGCTTTATTTCTGTTAAATATATCATGACAAAGTAATAACTGAGGTTGTATGTACCCAATTTTAACACCTGCTAAGGAATAGATCATGGTTATGTCCTGATATGTAAAACCATAGGACTCAAAGAGTGTACTTTCTTTTTCCCATGACTATATATACACACACCCATATGAAACGATGAGGGCTGCATTCATCAGACCTTGCATATATTATAAGGGTGCTGTTAGGGTGCTAATTTAATTAATACAACATACATGATCCAGTGCACTCTCACTACACACCAACTTTAAAAAAAAAAACCACCAAAAAAAACCAAAGAAACATAACAGGCAAAAATAATTGGGATTAAGTTACAGTATATGATCATACATAGCATTAGCATTCCACAATGCCAATGTACTCCATTTTTAACCGAGCAACCCAATACTTGCTTTTAGAAATTAATCCACTTACTTGGAAACTCCTATGTTGTGCAGCTGTCTGCCTGTAGCTACCCTGGCTTTGCACTGCTCCCTTTTACAGGTGCATAAGTCCAGATCCTTATTTCACATTGCGCTGCAGAAAGCCCCAAGAGAAAGGATTCCCAAATAAGTGGGTAATTTCAGTTTTACCTTCTGCCTTCCTTCCATGGTTACGGATGTAGAGTGCTAATTGTTTAGTCAGTTAACAGTATGCAGTAATATACTAACTATAGATATTTGCAAGTAATTGTCATTACTGTGTACAATTTGGAGTCAGACTAATTCAGAGTGAATCATTCACATGGGCAACCAGCTGTGGGAGCTCCATGCAGCATCAATGAGTACCGGAGATGCATTAAAGGGGAGGATCAGCAGCTCTTTTATACTGCCTATATATGGAGTTTCAAATAACCTCTATTGCAATCACCAACTTGTCTTCCATTTGCCTTTAGATATGCCAAAACTGTAATATTGCTTAATTGTCCACTACCTCTCATAGACTTAACTTTTCCAAGCAGCTGTTATAAGCAACAGCTGATGGCACAAGGCATCTTTTTGAACAATGCACATCAGATGCCTGTGGCATCTGCCGGCACATGCTCAAGAAGATATGTTGGGATCTGCCAGGCTATTCCAAAAAAACACATTATGAGCTCTCACATTTGCACAAGAGTGTACTGTGCCACAACTCATGACATGCAAGAGAGAAGAGGGGCTGTGAAGGAAGATCAAAGCAGTAGATAGCATTATGTATGAAATATCTAGATTTATTTCTTGTACACAAGTTAAAGGGTTACTCTAACAACCATGACCTCTGCTGCTTTTAGAAGTGGTCATGGTGGTTGGATTCGGTATATACAGCGTTTCTGCTTAGGGATAAACCGATATTTGGTCGCCTTTCGGGCCAATTGACTATAACTGGTACCAATATTCTGTTCATTTACAGTTTTGAAAAGAGAAAATTTCTAGACAAACCTGCCATTAACTGAACATGTTTATTATTTTAAGTGTTTTTTGTAAATCATTATTTTGAGTATTAAATCCACAAAATATACCTGCCAGTCAGATTTGTAATGCTTTCAAGAATACTTGTGTGTGCGCGCACACACAATGGATGCAGTCTGTGTGTAAATATGTGGGGTAGGATTCTGTGGCTAGTCTATTCTGTGGGCCAAAAGCCCTTTTCTTATTATTATTAAAATAACTTTAAATTTTATTCCCCCCACCCTGCTTTTTAATTGTGGCCAAGAAGGGGACCATTACACTCTCTGGTGGTCCAGTGGCTTTGTGCAGGCTACCAAGAGCTTGCATATTGAATAGGTATGGGCTGAGACTCAGCACATGCAATCTTCTGTTTCTTGCAGCTCCTCTCTCCAAGTCTCCCTTACTTGGAGAGAGGAATTGCTGGAAACAGAAGATTGCATGTACTGAGTCCCATTCGCCCCCTCTACCATGTGAGTGAGGCCAATGCGGACAGCCCCCCACTAGTATGCCTTTGGTATTGGAAATATCGGTATCACTTAAACCGATACCGATTATTGACAAATATCGGCCGATTTTATTGGCCTACCCGATAATCTCTAATAAAGAGATATTTGCACTTTTGTGCTGGGGGCTAGTTGCACATGACTTGGCCTTTTAAAATAATTAAAGCCCTTCCTCCCTGGCACAGATCACACACATGCCGAGACAGTGAAACAATCCAATCAAAAGCTTCTGAATAAGAAGCATTTGACTGGACAATGTGTAAGCAGCAGTGATGTCAATAGGGGTGTGGAAACCAGCACTGGGCTTTTCACTTGGTACTGGAGTTGATGTATGTTTGTACTTTATTTACAAGCTTCCAAGGGGGAAGAACCTAGTGAATACTGCCCAGTATGGCTTTGTAAACAATACAAAATTATTTTGTACAAATGGTTCATATAACCCTTAAAAAAATCAAAAAAAAAAAAAAAAACAAAAAAAAAAACTTTAGTTATTTAGAGAAACACTCCACGCACCAAACCACTATAATCCTGAGCTATCCGGCACCTCTAGGCTTAGCTCAGTAAAGAGAGGTCCTGGCTGCAGAGAGGCAGGGAGTGGCAGCCGGTGAATCCCAGGTAAGAAGTCAGGCCAATAGCAAATAGTGGTCACCTTGCTTGTAGTATTCCTTTAACTCACCTGTAGCAAATTGAGCAGATATTTAGTAAATTAAAGGATCACTATAGTGCACTGAGGGTGCCCCCACCCTCAGGGTTCCCCTTCCGTGGCGCTGAAGGGGTTAACACCCTTTCAGCAGCTTACCTTAATCCAGCACCGGGCTCCCTCAGCGTTGGTGACCTCTCCTCCCCTGCCGACGTCAGCAGAGCCGAATGCGCATGTGTGGCAAGTGCCGCGTGCGCATTCAAAGTGTCCATAGGAAAATTTCTCAATGCTTTCCTTAAACGCTCCGCGCGATGGAGGCGAAATATGCCTCCAGCGTCGAAGATGCGCCTCTAGTGGCTGTCCGGAAGACAGCCACTAGAGGCTGGATTATCCCCAAATGTAAACATAGCAGTTTCTCTGAAACATGAGGGACCTGGCACCCAGACCACTTCATTGAGCTGAAGTGGTCTGGGTGACTATAGTGTCCCTTTAATATTGTTCATGTACATTACAGTGGGTGGCCTAATAACTAAACATTCTTTATCTGCATTTATTTTTCCATGCAATGCTCTAAACAGGGTCATGGAATCATGGTGGAGAACGTATTTAATCAATTACTGCAGGGCTTGAATAATCAAATTGGATATGGGAGGTAGCACCTTCAATTTTACCTTTTATACAATATGGGCATGTTGTGGGTATAATAAACACCTGAATACCTCATCATTATGCTGGTATTTAAAAAAAAAAAAAAAAAATGGTACTGGCCATGTGAATAAAAGGATAGATAATGTGTTGATGGAAACGAGAGCTATGTATGTATGCATGTGTAAGTATGAGTGTGTGCAAGTGAGTACCTGTCTGTATCACTGAACAAAAACAAACACTTGCCTTTTAAAGTTTGTAATGCTACCAACACTTGCACATCATCTTAAACTGACACTCCACTACCCAAATAGAAGAATATTCTCAGACTCTGGTATGTATAATCGTCAAAAAATCTACAATGACCTTTTAAACAAAGTCATCCGAATATAGGAGATTAGAGAAACAAAATGGAAAGGTTCATATATTTACTGGATATGAAACCGTAATCACACAGGAACACCCAAAGTGAACATAGCAGTAGCCCAAAACAATATGACAAGATGAAGAATTTGATTTGGAATTCTGACAAAGGTCAACTTGGCATCACCGGGCCATGAGCTGGTTTTATATTTTTAAACTCAATTTTGTTTTGGAGATGGCTGCTTAGTTTTCATGCAATTTAGTTGAGTTCTATTATGCACAACTAGATAATGGAGCCTGTTTTAATTGCCAAGATAACAGACTCAAACAAACCATACATTGCCAAAGTTCCTCAATTTAATTTAAAAAAAGGTTAGTTAAGATAAAATAGGCTGTATTTTTTTCCCCACTGAAGAAAAAAAATACAGCCTATCCTATCTTAAAATGTATACATTAAGCACAAAAACAACTTTAGCGTAATTAAGCAATTGCAGTGCATAGATCATGCACCTGCTGTCTCACTGCTTAATTCTCTGTCATTTACAAGTTAAATCATTTTTGTTTCTGTATATGCACGTGGAGACATTCTTAACATACACAAGTAGCACTTTATTATGTGGATAACTAGCTATGGTTTTATCAGGGCTCAAAACTTCTACTCTCCACTAGCCATTGAAGAGTGAAATTCACCCCTGGCAAGTATATTATGGCGTGTAGTGGCGAGTAACTTTTAAGGCCTGACTAGTAGCACAGGACTACAAATATTAAGCCCTAGTTATATATTCATTGGTTTCTTATTGCATCAGGAATAGTTTGGCTACAACACAAGGCTCCCTGTTTAGATTGGAAGAAAAGATATTAATTAAAGCAGGGATGGGGAATGTCCGGCCGCGAGCCGTATAAGGCCAGCAAAATCATTTGGTCTGGCCCGTCAAGACAACCTCAAACGAGACTTGAAATTTTATAGCCCTGAGAGGGTATTAAGGAGGGAGGTGCTGGTGATAGGGGCACTGTGGGGAGGCAGCTTTCTGTGCCTCTCCTGATCTACCCTGCACTCAAGCTGCTGACCTTGTCAATAGGAAAAGGTTGGAAAGTGAGAACTTTAGCTCCCAGTATTTTCAGAACATTCAATGTCAAGTAGGCTTACTCAGCAACACATGACTGAGAGTGAGCTTCTGTGTGCGTATGTGACTAAGCATGCGTCAGTGGGCTTGTCTGCAGTGAGCATGCGTCAGTGGGCTTGTCTGCAGTGAGCATGCGTCAGTGGGCTTGTCTGCAGTGAGCATGCGTCAGTGGGCTTGTCTGCAGTGAGCATGCGTCAGTAATATTTTAGCTAGGTACATACAAATCAAGGCTCCTTGTTTAGATTGGAAGAAAAGATGTTCATTAAAGCAGGGATGGAGAATGTAGTGAGCATGCGTCAGTGAGCTTGTCTGTAGACTGCTGTGATGACGAAAGCCTGGAAAAGCAGTAGCAAGTAGCAACACCAATACCAGCTAACATCACACGCCTCACAAAGAGAATCAGTTCCAGCCATCACATTAAGAGTGAGTTAATTTAATGTTTGACCAAATATAGCAGGCAAATTTTTGAGTTTATAGCTTTGTATGGCCTGCGAATGACGTCATAAATATCCACATGGGAAAAAAAATAAGGTTCCCTGCCCCAACTTTAAAGCAACAATATATGGTATTCTCTGCCAGAAGAGTTGGTTTTATCAGAGTCTCGGAATTTTAAACATCAACGGGAATTCTTGAAAAAACATAATATTCAGGAATATTTAAGCGGACACTGTGGACACCCTGACCACTTCTCATTGAAGTGGTCTGGGTGCATTGCCCAAGTCCCCTTTAGCCTGTAATATAAAACAATGCAGTTTTAAGACTGCATACAGCCACAAGAGGCATTTTCTAAAGTTTCACAGAGTCTTTTTCAGCCGATGCAACGATTAAACACGTTCAAATATGCCAATCATTTTTTTTTTTTCAACAAGCAGTTTACCTTGACTCAATGAGATCAAGAGTAGAATAGACTAGAATTCCTAAAGAAAATACAACGTTGATGAACCAGTCACCAAACAAGTATCACCTGTTTTGACAATTTTAGATGGCCTGTATACTTTGAAAGGAGGAGTAGCAAGTATTCTCTCAGAAACTGGGGGACTATGAGGAGTATTTAAAATATGAATTCTTTAAGCATGCTGTACTTACATTCTTCTTTGCAAACTGGCCAGACATGAAAGAGTTTGCTGAAAAACTAACTCTTGTTTTAGTTGGGGGATTAAAATAATTGTTTGGATCATAAAACTATAGAGACATTTAGAAACCAGTCTGCCTTCTTCAGATGTACTTCAGTTGAAAGGTACTTTCAATTTCCAGGAAATCTACCAAAAGCCAACATTCCTTATGATAAGATATGAAAGGGTTTAATCACAGACTAGGAATCATATTAAGACATTTCACGGACAGCAAACTAGAAACACAAAATGCAAAGGAAGTGCCTAACCAATTACTCGTGTCTAGTAACTTCAATCACAAACTTTTAAAGCATATCACTGTCTTTTTTTTGCGAAGACCACAGAGGGAGACAATCCAAAGGCTAAGCAGAGATGAGGTATACTTACGTGATGCTCTCTTGCAATGATGCAGACTTTTTTTTCCCTTCAGCTGCAGAAGCTTCATCCACCAGAAGCCAGCATCACTGCTGTACACTGGTACATATATGAGAATATGCCACAGAGGTCTAAAGAGGATCCAGTGAGACCTTACATGCAACACAAAAAACAGTAAAGGCAACTTTGGCATAGATGTGCCTGTGTCTTTCTGAGCAGCTTGTCCATGTGCAATATAATATGTAAAAGTGGGATTCTACCTCATTGCATATAGGGGCGTTGTATACCCCTGCGAGGCATTTAGATAAAAGTAGTGGAAATATGTTGATTGCTATTTGGATTACATGTTGGAGCCCCCTTACGCAAAAAAAAGAATCTTGCCTAACTCCCCTTCATGGCAAATTATTTTGTCTTGTTTGAAACAATTATCAGATTAACATTGGTTAAAAGGAACTTCCTAAGCACCAAAATAACTTTAGCGTAAAGAGAACATATAGTCAGGACTATATGTTCCCTCATATGCACACCTTTGGTTTAAAAAAAAAAAAAAAGTAGGTAAAATAAAGATTACTCACCTTGCTTCCAATGTCGGGACTCCTCCACTGCAGCTGCCTTTGAAGATGGCAGCATGCTTACTGACTCCTCAATCTCCTCCAATCTATTGCTGCTCATAGAGCAATGGATTGGTGGTATGAATGCACTATCAAATTCCACTCTCCTCCAATTAATTGCTGCTATCAGCAGCATTTGATTCCCATACCAAGTCGTCTGGAGGAGGAAATTCCTCTGGTGGCTGATAGGACCATTTCACCCAAATCACTTCATTGAGATGAAGTGGTCTGGCTGACTACAGTCTTCCTAATTTATTTACATTTATTATGCAGGTGAGTTACCTACAAGTGGAAAAGCAGAGCCAACATAGCACAATCTTTTAACTCTAAGTCAATCTATCCATTTCTAAGTATAAACAAAAATGTTAGTCGGGCTCGATTCTGAAAAATTATTACACCCAAACAGATATCCAACTGAAATAAATCAGCCTCTTAGTTATTCATAATTAGTGGGGTGCTAGTGTGAGAAGTCAACAATGCAAAGGCGTCAAAAGGAAGAGATATGAAAAAAGAAATCAGCAATAAACAAAAACAAAACTAAACTTAGGAGATCCCGTTAGAGAAAGCAGTCCTGCTATGAAGATACTGGAGAATGTCCTCCACCTGGAGCTGTGAAGACAGTGGGAATAAAGACGTCAATATTATCAAAATCCCATGTGTGGGCAAAACTAGTCTCCTTATTAACAGAAACAGTTAGGCCAAGAGCATGCAGAAAGGAATCCGCCTCCAATATCGATGCCAACTTATGGTGGGGTCCACTGTCATCAAGCAATAGTGCTTGAGAAGTTCCTAATTTTTAGGGTATCTCAGCAACTTTCAATGCTTAAAAGGGATACTCCAGGCACCCAGACCACTTCTGCCCATTGGAGTGGTCTGGGTGCCAACTCCCACTACCCTTAACCCTGCAATTGTAAATATTGCAGTTTTCATAAACTGCAATATTTACATTGCAGGCTTAACTCCTGCTCTACTAGACAGCCACTAGAGGGCACTTCCTTGTTTATAGCACAGATTTTGTGAGGACCTCCAGCGTCGCTGAAATCCCCATAGGAAAGCATCTTTCAACTTTCCTATGGGGAGGTCTAATACGTGTGTGCAGCATTGCCGCGCATGCGCATTAGGTCTCCCCGTTGCGCAATAGGTCTCCCCGCTGGATGACGGTGGGGGAGGAGCGTGGGCGGACCCTGAACCAGCACCGAGGGACATTGGCGCTGGATAAAGGTAAGTCACTGAAATGGTTTTAACCCCTTCAGCAACTTAGGATAGGGGGTGGGAGGGAGAGGGGACCTGCAGTGCCAGGAAAACAGATTGTTTGGAGCATGAGCGGCAAATGTCGAAAAAAAAAATTAAAGGGATTAAAAGGTTACTCCAAGCATCAACAAGCTGTACCGGTTATGATGCCAGGTGTACTCTGGTCCTGTTTTCCATTAAAGGGTCAGTCTGTTTTGCAACTGTTTGCCCTCCTATCTGATCCTGCTAGGACACCACAGTGACTCTGCCGGAGTTGGAGTTACAGACGGCAGGCTCCATGACCACTTGAATTAAAAGAGAGCATGAGGAATAGACCAACACTCAGTCCAACCATTACCTACAGACATGTATTTAGTGTTTCTGGATATAAAGGCACAGGCTGGATACTATAGATGTTGTCTTGTTACTTTTGATCAAATGAGAGCATAGATGCTCAAGGCTTGGTATAATAAGACATTAATTTGTTATGACAGTTCACTAAGACTTCCCTGCAGCTCCCCAGCATGAGCCAGAAGCTAACATATTCCCCTGCTGTAACCACTTCCTCTCAGGTAATACTGCTATTAATTTGATGCCACAGAAGTCAATATACGCTGTGAGAATTGTTGATTTAACCAGTAGTAAGCTGACTACAGACTAAATTAGCCTGGAATCTCAAAGTAATCAGGAAATGTGTGATCAATCTTAACATTTACCATTAGTTGTATAGGAACACTCCATTGAAAATTGTTTATTTAAACAATTTAGTAGATATAACCCCAAAGAAAACATGCCTGCATTTATTTCTGCAGATTTTCCTTGGTGGTATATGAAAAACCAAACAGCTTGTAAAAGCAACAGATCAGCTGTCTGCAATCTCCCCTTTAATACCTGCAGAGAATAAAAAGTTGTCTACATGAGAAGCCTATGTGCTGGACACAATAAGCACAGTTAAACAAAATTAAAAATAACTTCAATATGTACAGTTTTTAAAATAAAAATTCAACATCTCCACTGTTGTGTTTTTTTTTATTGCTGCTTACAGTAATTAGCAGAAAACTGATAAAGAACTACGCAGAATAGCTGTGAAATTACTTAGTACTCAATTGAGCACAATTTGAGAACTTATCTGGATGTCACAGAGTGTAAAGTCCACATCTAGTCTTCTCCTGAATGAGAAGCCAGAAGGCTCTGCACAGCAAATTACAATGCAGAACCCCTCAGCCTGTTCTGCATTACTCTCTAGAGCAGTATTTCCCAAACCAGTCCACAAGACCCACTGACAGTCCAGGTTTTGTCAGTATCTCCAGTGGATAAAATCAGAAATAAATAAATCCTGGATTTGGGAACTGATTTGAGAACCACTGCTCTAGAGCCATCCAGGATTCCCTGCTGGAGAAGACCAGATGCAAAGGAAGAGGTTCTAGCATGACCCACATAATGATTTTACCACGGTGCCAGAGCACTTCTGACACTATAATCACAACAGAAGGTTATAGTTTCTCTGCTGACATCACTCATAAAAGGGAGTTTTTTTTTGTTTTGTTTTTTTAAATGTACACCACTCTTTCCATGCTTTGTACCCTGCACTGGGCCGTGGTTGTAATGGTAACGCTAGCTGGCACTGCTAGCGTTGGCAAGAGAGTATAGTAACAGAGTGACTTGTCACTCCATTCAAATGCTGGAAAACTAAGTCAATGTGTCTGCATGATAGGTTTGTCCTGCTTCAGAAAGTGTCCCCAAACAGGGCAAATCAGAGAAAGGACTTGCCAGATGAGAGGTAAGTGTTACAGACATGTAACACCCACCTCTGTAATGAGATTGCAGCTGGAGAGTGGTGACAGGTTCACATTAGAACCACTAAAGTTACCCAGGCCACTTGCAAACACGGCAATGTTCAACTTGAAGGGTTTAACTTCAGTAGCTGTCTTCCACCTGAGGCGCTTATGCTGCAACAATCATGTAAAACTGACCTTGCACCCCCCATAGGAAAGTATTGATTCAATGCTTTACCTGGGAAATCTTAGATGCGCCAATGCTCTATGAGGAGACGCAGCAATGGAAGAAAAACTTTTTTTTACATTAATTTTAATTGGGTGGGGGATGACAACACCTAAATAACTAGGTACACTAAAGTGTTAGGAACACAGGTTTATAATCCTAACACGTTAACGTTTCTTTAAGGAAAATTGGTAGGTCAATTATAGAGAAAACTAAGGGAATATTCTTGTTGGTTACTCCACTTTAGCCCATAGTGGTTCTATATACACATGGTTCTGTGTGTACAAACAACACATATCACACAATGCACAGAGTGCTTTCAGCACAATTAAAAAAAAAAAAAAAAATCTACAATAAACACTTTCTACAGTACATGGCATGCCATACTCTCAAACAGTGACATGTTCGGGGCAAGTTAAAGTTTGTTTCTGTAGCCCACGGTGCAATTTCTGGAGCTCGAGAACCCCCCCCCCTCATAAATGAATTTGCCCCAAGAACACCACAGGCACATTCAATCTGGGATATCAACCCCATTGTCCCCACAAGAGCAAACAAAAACCGCTGCCTGCACCGTGCCTGGAACTCCACGTCCTAGGTGTCTGACGACAAGAATTCCAGAACCCTGATACAAGACAAATGGAACTGTGCAAGAATGTAGTCAGAGCCATAATGCAGCTTACTGTCAGTTTACATAAGATCAAGACTGTACACTGATGGGTCGACTCATGGACCATACACAGTCCCATTCACTCCAATAATTTTCGTTGGTATACTTACTAAACTATAACATTTAGGCAAAATTAGCCGATTTGGGAGGAAAAAATGTCCAACCTAGATTTAGCACAGCTAGTCTGTTTTAGTGTAAATTGTGAGATTCACTTTCCAGGGATAGATCCCGAGTAAACCATGCCCTCTGTATATGAAGTGCCATAGAGCTGTGTGATGTGGTACTCTGTAAGACACTGGCTGGCTGGCTGTCACATCACACAGAGCTGTGTTGAACAAGCCATTCACCTCACTAACAGAGCTTAGTCCTGCCCCTGGGTACCGCCAGCAGGCCGCCATTTTCCCGCCCGGTCCCTCAGCTCTCCCCCTCCTATCCAGCTCAGTTTCCGGCCTCACCGACCAATCACACCGGCCACACCGCGGCCTCCACCAATGAGCGAGGCCCGAGGCGGGGAGAGCGGCCTGTGACCGGCTCCTGCGAGCGGTACAACGGTTTGTCGGCCCCGGTGACTCCCCCACCCTCCCCCTATACGGAGACATGAGACTTACCGGCACGGTGATCGCTGCTCTCTCCGGCGGGATAGTCTCTGCTCGGCTCTACCGGCGGCTGCCAGGCGCGGGAGGGAGGGAGGGCGGGCGCGCTGGGTATCGCGGGGGGTGAGGGCGGTACGCTACCCTGCACGCTCCGGGATTCGAGGGGGAGGGGGTCGGTGGAACCGAAACAAGATGGCGGAGACTAGGACAGAGAATTCCCGCCCACCGGTGCAGACACAGTGCGCATGCGCAGCCATAAAGCCACGCCCCTTTCCGGTGTCTATCGCTGATCAACACAGTGACAGCTGGAACACTGGGCTTTCTCAGGAGCTGTCACTATAGCAACGGGGCCTAGTGTTACTGTACACAGCGTACAAACTGCCCTGTTACTGTACACATATTATTATTATGATTTATTAACCGCCAACGGTGCACTTACAGACACTATTTGTAACCAGACGAGTTGGACACAGGGATTGAGCTTACATGTTAGAGGGAGTGGGGTAGAAAAGTAGGTTGCTAGGATAGTGTTCATTGAGGGCTTAGTGTTTTGTTTGGATGAGAGCTGCAGGAGAGGAATCAGGGTGCGGGGAGGTAAAGTTGTTCACGGTTTAATTGATATGCTTTCCTGAAGAAGTAAGTTTTCAAAGATTTTTTGAAGGAGTGGAGACAGGGTGAAAGTATAACGGAGAGGGGAAGGGTGTTCCATTGGAACGTTGCAGCCCAAGAGAAGCCTTTAGGGTGATCATCAGAGGTAGGAGTACAAACTGTGGTTACATGTAGGACACGGGCAGAGCGTAGGGGCCTATATGGGACATAGTTGTGTATTAGTGAGGATAAGTAGGTGGGAGCAGCATTGTGTAGAGATTTGTTAGCAAGTATCAGGATCTTAAATTTAGTCCTTTATCTTACGGGAAGCCAATCTAGGGACTGACAAAGAGGGGAGGCGTGGGAGGTACGGGCGGACAGGAAGATGAGTCTCGCCACCGCATTCATTATAGACTGTAACGGGGCAAATTGGGAACATGTAAGACCACTGAGAAGCGGATTACAGTAGTCAAGAGAGAGGTCAGCCTGTCCTGTTACTTTATAGATAATACAACCTGTTCTGTCAATGAAGGTTAGGAACTCACTCGTCCAAGTATTTCCTGGATAATAATCCACAGTTAGCAAGGTGTGAAAACACATGGGACTTATACACAATCAGACACCCAGTGCATCAGTGGCAACAGATAGCAACATACAACCTTAGCGACCGAGGCTATTTGGAAATTATACACAAAATGAGTAATTTTTTACACTTGTGTAACATGTTCGTTCCCATTAAAGCAATGCTGTCACCCCTCCCCATAAAATTAGTATTTCAAGATAGAATCTTTATGATATACTCATTATGAGTGTGTTGAAATTCCACCCCAGTCAAGAGGTATACAGATACAAATTAGGGAGTACTTTGTGTCTCTTTTTTTCCTCTACTTGCCGTTTCTTTACACAAGGTGGAGCCTTGTAGCGTCTATGGAGCATTCTGCGGTCTGGCGGAATCCTCTAAATACCTCAATGCTATACTCTCATTCATGTGCGAGGAGTAACCAAGATAGTAATAGACCAAGATGGCGGTGCCCACAAGGGACAGGTTCAGATAAGTAAATTCACCTTTACTTGCCAGTGCCACCCTCAGCCACCGGGACCCTAGTGAATTCCACAAAGTCCCAAAAAGGTGACAGTGTCACTTATATATATGCTTTCTTACAATACCCTATGAATGGATGCATGTAACAATGTTCCATGTATTAAAATATTTTTAAATAGTAAACAACCAAAAATATTAAATTCCTTATAGTAATTTCAATACAACTAGTGTAACTAAATAACTTTTAAGTTTTCATCAGAAGAAAACCCAACGCACACCTTTAATATATAATAAAAAAAAAAAAAATTAATATATGTACATACATCTTGAAATCAGAAGTAGAATGCATCTTCTACGCAAAAAGCTGTATCAATGCAACTTCTCTGTATTCATTGTATATATATATATATATATATATATATAAAACAGTTACTATGTTATTTGATAATGTATATAAAAAAAAAAAATGAAAATAAAATATAAACAAACAAAAGTCACTGTACTAAAGTGTAATTACCTTCTAGAGCATCGGTTCCCAACCCGTGGTACGCGTACCCCAAGGGGTGCAATTCATTGCCATTGGGGGTACGCCAAAAAATTTGTGTAATGGTGGCGGGGCTGGGAATCGCTGCCTGAGTGTATAGGGAGGCCCATGCACTTTGGGCCACCCGCTACACATGTGCCTCCAGGGGTCCGGTCGCCTGCTGCGGTGGATTAATAGCGTGACCGGACCCCTGTGTTACCTGCAGTCAGAGCCGGGAGGAAGTAAAAGCTTGAAACTACTTCCTCCCAGCTTGCACACAGAGCAAGCCGCGAGGGAGAGGAGGGACGGGACAGGCGGAGTGGACCGGGAGAGCAGCAGGACGTCAACTCACATCAGACCCAGTCAGCTAAAAGGTAGGATTTGTGTATCTGTATGTGTGTGTGTGTAGTGTTTGTGTGTGTATCTGTATGTCTTTGAGTCTGTATGTGTCAGTGTTTCTGTGTGTCACTGGATTTGTCAGTGTGTATGTCACTGTATTTGTCAGTGTGTGTTACTGTATGTGTCAGTGTGTGTGTCACAGTATGTGTCTGTGTATCTGCATGTGTCAATGTGTGTATCTGCATGTCTGTGCATCTGCATGTGTCAGTGTTTGTATCTGTATGTGTCCATGCGTCAGTGCATGTGTCGGTGTGTCCGTTTATGTTTCTGTGTGTATCTGTATATCATGATATGTGTCTGTGCGTCAGTGTGTCTGTGTATCTGTATGCCAGTGTATGTGTCTGTGCATCAGTGTTCATGTCTGTGTGTCATGGTATGTGTCTGTGTGTGTATGTGTATCTCAGGGCTCAACAAATCCCAGGCGCCAGGTCACCATGGAATATGTTGGCCATGAGCGGCAAGGGAGATTGCAGGTGGCCAGCTGTGGAAGAGCAGAGGCAGCCGGCCAGCCGTGGGAGAGCAGAGTCAGTCGGCCAGCCGTGGGAGAGCAGAGTCAGTCGGCCAGCCGTGGGAGAGTGGAGGCAGCCGGCCAGCCTTGGGAGAGAGGAGTAGGCCAGGTGTGGGAGAGCGGAGGCGGCCGGCCGGCCTGCCTGCCATGTGGAAGCGGAGGCGGCCGGCCAGCCGTGGGAGAAAGCATATGCGTCTTGAGAGAGGGCAGAGACTTACCAGCGGGCCCTGTGTGGAATAGACCCGAGGGACGTGGAGTTCGCACGCCCTGCAAAGATGCCAGAAGCTGGAATATAACGTCATTCCGGCCCCTGGCATATTAAACCAAACAGTGCGTGGCAGGGAGCAGAGCAGGGAGATGACAGCAGCCCCACTGGACCCCAGGGAAAGCCTATCCACTCTACCTCTCCAAAAGGTAGGGAGGCTGGGTGGGTTTCAGTCAAATACATTTTTAAAAATTCAACTTCTGAATATGTGTGTCTCTGAAATTTTGTCTGTGTGTGTGTGTCTGTCTGCGAACAAGTGTATGTCTGTCTGTGAGTCTGCCTCTTAGTGAGTGTCTGTTTAGGTGACTGGTCCCCCTCTGAGAAAGGTGATTTTACTTACCTGTTTTCCCACGCCGTGACAGTCTCGCTGTGGCTGAATCCGCTTCCATGGCTGAGATAATCAATGCTTTCCCATAGGAAAGAAATGGGAGGCTATTGTGTATTCACTAATCTGCATCTTCTCAAAGAGATGCATTGAATCAATGCATCACTATGAGAACATTCATCGCCTCCATGCCGAGCGTGGTTTAAGTGATGATCACTAGCGGTGTTACTAAGCAGCAATGTAAACACTGTCTTTTCTCTGAAAAGGCAGTGTTTACATTACAAAACACCTGAAGGGACAAGCTATAGACACCAGAACCACTATATTAAGTTGCAGTGGATCTGGTGACTATAGTGCGTCAGTGTCCGTATAGGTATGTCATTGTCCGTATCTTTGTCTGTATGTGTGTCAGTGTATGCATTTGTGTGTCATTGTGTGTGTCAGTGTCTGTATCTGTGTATCTGCATGTGTGGCAGTGGATGTATCTGTGTTTCACTGTATCTGCATATGTGTCAGGGTATGTATCTTAGTGTCAGGGTATGTATATGTGTGCCAGGGTATGCATCCTTAAGTGTGTCAGTGTATGTGCATATGTGTGTGTCTGTGTGTCTGCATGTTTGTCATGTGTGTGTCTGTGTATCTGCATGTGTGTTTCTCTATGTCAGTGTGTCTGTCTGTGTGTCAGGATATGTGTCAGGGTATGTGTCTATGTGTATACTTATGTGTGTCAGGGTAATTATCTGTATGTCAGTGTGTGTGTCTGTCCTTGTGTTTGTATGTCAGGGTATGTATAAATGTCTGTGTATCTGGATGTTTGTCAGTATATGTATCTGTGTGTCATGGTATGTATCCTTAAATGTGTGTCAGTGTATGTATCTGCATGTGTGTCAGGGTATGTATCTGCATGTGTGTCAGTGGCTATATCTGTGTCAGTGTCTGTATCTGCACGTGTGTAAAAACCAACCCTTATCCTACTCCTAACTGTACCCTAATCCTAATCAACCCTAACCCTACTCTTAACCCAACCCTAATCCTACTCCTAACTGTACCCTAATCCTAATCAACCCTAACCCTACTCCTAACCCAACCCTACTTCTGATCTAACCCTAACCCTACTCTTAACCCTGGCCCTGACCCTACTCCTAACCCAACCTTGGTCCTAACCCTAACCCTACTCCTAACGCAAAACTAACCCTACCCCTAATCCTACACTTTCCTGAAGTCACGAATTTTGGAAGTGTCGAACCGAATTGCCGAACTCCCGAATTTCGGAATGCCGAACAGAACTGAATTTTTGGGCCATGGACATCCCTAGTATTTAATACCTCATTGTTATGAGATATGTATGTGTGACTTGTATTTGTAGTGGTTTGCAAAAATCAACTGAGCTGTAAGAGTGGTTCCTGGATCAGTGCTGACAACGAGGAATTTTACTTCCTCTTTTGCAATCTAAGATCCCATCAACTTGTGTGTGGCATGTGCATGCTATATGAAGAACTTAATCATTTCTCTTCTTAGTTATCCTGCTTTGATGAGAGCCACACTTGCATGCATGTGAGATCAGCAGCTTACTGCACACAGTCTGGTTCAAAAATCTGAGAACAGAGCTGTAATTATTGCTGGACAAAGGTTTATGGAATTGGAAAAGAATCTATAGACCAGAATGCAAAGCTCCTGATTGGTGTCCCTGCTTCTTTGTCTGGGATGGGTTTACCGGTTGCAGCACTTGTGCATATAAGTGCTGCAGTATTTTAATTGTTGTGCATTTTTTTAAAGCATTATTTACATAATGGATTAAAGGGGCATTTTATGTACCATAACCACTGCATCTTATCTTAGTGGTTAAGGGGCAATGAGTCTCGAAGTTCTTAAAGGTATACTATAGGCATCAAAAGAACTTAAGCTTAATGAAGCAGTTTTGGTATATAGATCATGTTATCGCAGTCTCACTGCTTAATTCTCTTTTGTTTCTGTTTATGAAGTCCTGTCACGCCGCCGTATTCCCACAAACTGCCAAACACTCACCAGAGGTGACCTCTCCTCTCTCAGCAGCCGGGTCTGTTTCATTAAGGACGCCGCCCGCTGCAGCAGTGAATAATAAAGGGTTTCCTGTTTAACCCTTAAAGGGCCAGATCAATTAATTTAATATGGGTGTGTTACACACAAGCTTGATCACATGTTTCCCTTCAGCCTATCATGAAATGCCTTTAGTTATTTAAACCTAGTTTGTCCATTTCTCAGTGCCCTGTCGTGGTTTCCAGTTGGTTATCCGAAAGCGTGTTCCTTGTATTGATTTCTTGTGTATCTGACCTTGGCTTCCCTTATTGACTATCCGATCTCTGTATTCCTTGACTTTTGACTTGGCTCCTGACTATTCTGATATCTCCATTCCTTGACCTTTGGCTTGTTTATCGTTTGTGTTATACCTTTGTCTTGGTTTTTCTTGTGTCTTTTTGCCTTTTTACGTTAAATCCGGCCATTCTAAGGCCATTCTTTATTGACTTTTTCTTTCAGATATATGCCCCAAAGGCTATGTCCTACCTAAAAGGGACACTCCAGGCAACAAGACCACTTCTGCACATTGTAGTGGTCTGGGTGCCAACTCCCACCACCTTTAACCCTGCAAGTGTAATTATTACAGTGTTTACAAACTGCAATAATTACCTTGCGGTGTTAAGTCCTCCACTAGTGACTGTCTATCAGACAGCCACTAGAGGGACTTTCATGTTCTTAGAACACGAAAAGTGTGTTATACAACGCTGGACGTCCTCACGCTATGTGAAGACCTCCAGCGTCTCCGAAATCCCCATAGGATAGCATTGAATAATGCTTTCCTATGGGGAGGTCTCATGCGCGTGTGCGGCCATTGCCTCACATGCGCATTAGGTCTCCCCCGCTGGCTGACGTCGGTGGGGGAGGAGAGTAGGTGGAGCCTGACCCAGCGCCAAGGGACGTCAGCGCTGGACTCTGGTAAGTCATTGAAGCAGTTTTAACCCCTTCAGCAACTTGGGATGGGTGGTGGGAGGGAGAAGGACACTGTAGGGTCCTGCAGTGCCAGGAAAACTAATATGTTTTCCTGGCACTGCAGAGTTCCTTTAAGGACACAAAACACTCAATTCGAGAACTAGACTCAAGAGAATGGGAAGAGAGATCTATGTGGACAACATTAGATGTAATGTCTTTATACACTATCATTGACCACACATTAGGACTAGAGGCAGTTAAGAACAATATTGAGCGGAATAAGGATATTTACCCACTTTTTGGATCATTTTTATTAGAATCCATTCATTTTATGCTTATTCATAATATTAATTGTGGCAGAAGCAGCCACAAGTGACTTTTGCATTGATTATTGCCTGTATTTGAACTGTATGTTATTTGAGCATAGTGGATTTTATTAGACTGGTTCTGGCCCTTTAAATGCTCTGACAAAGGATCTGCGGTTTTGCTATGCACTTTGGATGCAGAGTGTGAAGAAAAACTCTGTTTTATGGACTTAGTTTGACTGTTTTATTCCCCTCCCTCCTAGAACACCAGTTTAAAAACCCTTAATAACTGTCATATTTTCAAACGCTGTCTGTCTTTAACTGTCAGTTTGTTTTCCTCTGAGGAGGAGTTGTTTTGCTGCGTGAGTGCTGTTGCTTTGTGTGCTCATTAAAACAGACCTGCTTGACCCTTTCTTGAAGCCTTGGCTCATGCTTGGGGGATGGGATAAGTCTGCAGTGCTGATGGTGTCGGTTGGAGTGGTTGAAGTCCTCGGCAAGCACTAGGAGCATCGATTGGCGGAGGTACTCGGTAGGAGTGCCAGCGGGTCCGTCACAATTGGTGGCAGCGGCGGGATTCAAACCTCACAGCAGACCGTTGTTCGGCAGTTACAGCCATTTGGGAAATTTGCTATTTCGTATGGAACCGAAAGGAAAGGGTATGTGAATATACCCGAACGGATAGTGAATGGGGACAGACTATACCAACTTGAAACGGGCCACGCTAAAAGAACTATTGGAAGCAAGGGGAATTATTGCCAGCAATAAAATCAAAGCTACCCTTATTGCTGAACTCATGGAGGGAGACCGGGCAGCTGCTGCAGCACCTCTTATGGACAGCACACAAACGGAGTTTGGAAGAGAACTCCAAAGCAGATTGGCCTTTTTCCCAGGTACGCCTCCCACAGAAACCTTGGAAAGGATTATGGCAGATGTCCACGAATACATAATGGAAAAGCAGCAGGCAGACCGGAGGTCCAGAGAGGGGTCCCTCATCACACCACACATAGTACCAGGGAAGCCTAAAATCCCGTACCATGCTTTTAAAAACTATGTGGAGACCGAAGACATCGATGGCTACTTGCATGACTTTGAGAGGTTATGCCAATTACATGAGATCAACGCCGCCGACCAGGTACCCCTGTTGGTGGGTAAGCTAGCGGGCCGGGCAGCAGAAGCCTACCGCACCATGCCAGGCGAGGATAGCAGAGACTACCAGAAAGTAAAGCAGGCGATCCTGAACAGGTATGCAATTACCCCGGAGGCATATCGGCAGCGGTTCCGAGAAAGCCGAAAGACGGAGAAAGATACTCACATGGAGTGGGCAAACCGCTTAACTAGGGCGGGCAAAGGTTGGGTGCAAGCCGCGCAAGAACCACAGTGGAGGACATGCTACAATTACTGCTACTGGAGCAATTCTTCCAGGGGTTAACCCCGGATTTACAAAACTGGCTGAGGGATCGGAAACCGCGCATCTTAACTGACGCCGCCAGGTGGGCAGACGAGTACCAAGATGCCAGGAGGGCACAGGCACAGTCCATCTTGGGAGCTGCTAACCCACCTCCCACCATTAAAGGACCACTCTAGGCACCCAGACCACTTCAGCTTAATGAAGTGGTCTGGGTGCCAGGTCCTTCTAGGGTTAACCCATTTTTTCATGGAGGGAGACCGGGCAGCTGCTGCAGCACCTCTTATGGACAGCACACAAACGGAGTTTGGAAGAGAACTCCAAAGCAGACTGGCCTTTTTCCCAGGTACGCCTCCCACAGAAACCTTGGAAAGGATTATGGCAGATGTGCACGAATACATAATGGAAAAGCAGCGGGCCCACCTGGCGGCGTCTCATTGACAGCCACTAGAGGCGCTTGCGTGCTTCTCACTGTGAAAATCACAGTGAGAGCACGCCAGCGTCCATAGGAAAGCATTGTAAATGCTTTCCTATGAGACCGGCTGAATGCGCGCGCAGCTCTTGCCGCGCGTGCGCATTCAGCCGGCGGGGCGGATCGGAGGCGGTTAGGAGGCAGAGAGCTCTCCGCCCAGCGCTGGAAAAAGGTAAGTTATTACCCCTTTCCTCTTTCCAGAGCCGGGTGGGAGGGGGTCCCTGAGGGTGGGGGCACCCTCAGGGCACTATAGTGCCAGGAAAACGAGTATGTTTTCCTGGCACTATAGTGGTCCTTTAACCCCACCCCAGCACTGCGTCCGGGTGGTGGGAACTACCAAACCCCTCCACGGTACAACAATGCCCGATCTTTCATCAGGTGCCACACGTGTAACCAGCAGGGCCACATGCAGAGAGACTGTCCCAGAAACAGAAACCACTCCACGTGAAATACTCCAACTAATTGCCCTGCAAACCGGGCAGCAGTACACTGCTACCAGAGTGAGCCTCGACAACCTTTCTTCGGGACCCGGTCTAATGAAGAATCTTTGGGCACCCTCCACGAGGTTAACCCAGTACAAGCAGCTGCAGACAACCGACAGGGACACCGCCAAGGGGTACACGTAGAGGGAAAACGCCTTCAGGGTCTGTGCGATTCTGGGGCCACCATAACCCTGGTTCGCAATCACCTAGTCCCCAAGCACCAGCTCACTGGAGAATATGTGGCAGTCCGGGTGGCAGGGGGAGTGATTTACAAAATTCCCACTGCTAAAGTACATTTGGATTGGGGAGCGGGGTCGGGGAATGTGGAAGTGGGCCTCATGCACGACTTACCAGATGATGTCATCCTGGGTAATGACTTGGGGGAGCTGACCTCCGCTTTTGTTTCTCAGCACCCCGTGCAGGAAGCGCTACCCGTGGTAACACAGCAGCAGGCCCGCACCACCGCATCTTCTGAACACTCTGAGGCTCCGGTAAGTAACAGTACTGACCCACCTTTCGTCCCCTGGGCTCCCCCCTTAGAATTTGGTACTGAAGTAGTCACCGAACCGGCCAGGGGCCAGTACCTCACCACAATAGACTTGTGCAAAGGGTACTGGCAGATCCCCCTAGCCGAGGATGCCATCCCAAAGTCCGCATTCGTCACCCCGTTTGGGCTATACCAATTCAAGGTGATGCCATTCGGGATGAAGAATGCGCCGGCTACGTTTCAGCGGATGGTGGACCGGTTACTGGACGGATCCCAGGAGTATGCTTGCGCCTATTTAGATGACATAGCAATATTTAGCAACTCCTGGGACGAGCACTTGACCCATATTGGAGCCATCCTCGACCGTATCAGGGAGGCAGGTCTCACATTAAAACCCAGCAAGTGCCACGTAGGGATGGCCGAAGTGCAGTACTTAGGCCACAGGGTGGGCAGTGGGCAGCAAAAGCCAGAACCCGCTAAGATAGAGGCCGTAGCTAAGTGGCCAACCCCTCGCACGAAAACTCAGGTTTTAGCTTTTCTAGGGACCGCCGGGTATTACCGTAAATTTGTACCTAATTATAGTGCCCTAGCCAAGCCCCTTACTGACCTCACCAAAAAGAACTTACCCAAAGTAGTGACCTGGAGCCCAGAGTGTGAGAAGGCATTCCAAGAACTGAAAACTGCCCTAATTCATGCCCCTGTACTGGCCGCTCCCGATCCAACTAAACGCTTTCTCGTTCATACAGATGCTTCTATGTTTGGATTGGGAGCAGTGCTGAGCCAAGTTGGGGCCGATGGCGGTGAGCATCCAGTCGCTTACTTAAGTCGGAAACTACGACCCAGGGAAGTAAGCTATGCCGCCATCGAAAAGGAATGCCTGGCGGTGGTGTGGGCCCTCAAGAAACTACAGCCCTACTTATATGGACAACAATTTGCCTTGCTCACAGATCACAACCCGTTGGTGTGGCTAAACCGGGTGTCAGGGGACAATGCTAGACTACTGAGATGGAGCTTGGCACTACAACCATTTGATTTCACGATCCAGTATCGCCCAGGGAAACAAAATGGTAATGCCACCTGGTTGTCCAGACAGACAGAACTCGAGAAATGATCTGTGAGCACTCCTCCGGACATCCCCAAGCAGATCCGTTGGGATCAGACTGTGTATGCCGGCTTGGTTCTGGGGGAGCATTGTGGCAGAAGCAGCCACAAGAGACTTTTGCATTGATTATTGCCTGTATTTGAACTGTATGTTATTTGAGCATAGTGGATTTTATTAGACTGGTTCTGGCCCTTTAAATGCTCTGACAAAGGATCTGCGGTTTTGCTATGCACTTCGGATGCAGAGTGTGAAGAAAAACCCTGTTTTATGGGCTTAGTCTGACTGTTTTATTCCCCTCCCTCCTAGAACACCAGTTTAAAAACCCTTAATAACTGCCATATTTTCAAACGCTGTCTGTCTTTAACTGTCAGTTTGTTTTCCTCTGAGGAGGAGTTGTTTTTGCTGCGTGAGTGCTGTTGCTTTGTGTGCTCATTAAAACAGACCTGTTTGACCCTTTCTTGAAGCCTTGGCTCATGCTTGAGGGATGGGATAAGTCTGCAGTGCTGATGGTGTCGGTTGGAGTGCTTGAAGTCCTCGGCAAGCACTAGGAGCATCGATTGGCGGAGGTACTCGGTCGGAGTGCCAGCGGGTCCGTCACAATATTTTCTTTCATCGAAGAGTTCTTTTTACAAATTAAAGATACAACTATGGGCACCAAGTTCGCACCTAGTTATGCCAACATCTTTATGGATTATTGAGAAAGATCCACTATATGGGACAATAATCCATACGGTGCAGACTTGGTGCTCTGGAGACGTTACATTGACAACATTTTTGTTTATTTTTTATTTTTGTTGTGCAGGTAAATACATAACAGTTTTAAATGCCACAACAGCATACACATATACAATCAGGATGAACAGTGGTGTGTTATATCGCACATTTTTGTTTAATGTTCAGGCTTAACATATCTAGTATGTCTCCGAGGTGGGTAATCAAGATTAGGTAGGCATGTATACGATTCAATAGCAGAGTGGTTTAGGTAGGACATGCATTGAAGACGATTAGAATGCACTTGTAGAGTAAGGTAGGATGGTAAGAGTTATATCATCTGTAAAATCTAGACTCATGTATATAATTGCACAGTAAATGCTAGTGCTTCTGTGCATATTCTAGGAGGAAAAAGAAAACAAGAGGACAAATAGTATAACATGCTGTCTAAGAGAAACAGACTTAAAGTGAAAAGCACTGGGGCTGAGCAGACTGTGATATTACATGTGTCTGTGGGAGACCTGGCAGAGATAAGTGGGTAGGGATAAGGTATGGCTGCATGTTTCATCCAAGAGTGTCAGTTCTTAGGTGGCATGTGTTGAGCTGCTGTCTCTTGTAAAGCCCAGTCTGTGTCGGTCTGTGGATGTCTCTGTGCTTGTATAGAGTGTTCAGATGATGTCGCTTGGAACTTACAGTCAGTGGCAGGTCTATACAGCAGGTTGACTTTGATTTCCAGGTCTATACAGCAGGTTGGCATGGTGCAAGATGATGAAGTGTCATTGGTGTACCTTTGGGAAGTGACAAAGCTTTTTTCTTTGCTTGGCGGTCAGCCAAGTTAAACGCTTGGCCGACCTGTTACATGCTTCACAAGTCCGCTCAGTGGGCTCATAGTTCCCCTCCGACTCTTATCCCCGCCAGGGAGGCGCGTGTTGCGGGAAGAGGGTCCGGTGGCTCTCTTGGTCTCCTTCTCTCCCTGGCTGGGGTCAACGGTGGATTCGACGCTGTGCTTGCTGCACAGTCCTCAGTTTGGGCAATCGGTGTGGCTCTATATCGCAAGAGCGGTTAGTAAAGTGTTCTGAGCCACCACCATCTTACACCGCGGGCCTTGGGTGTTCAGCAGGTGCTGTGTGTTCTTATCCGCCGTCACATTCTATGTTTCTAATTTTCTTTGTCTGTTAACTCACTGAGGGTTATTTTATATACTATGTGTGTGTGTGTGTGTGAGGGTGCTGTGTGTGTGAGGGTGTTGTGTGTGTCTGAGGGTGCTGTGTGAGGGTGCTGTAAGTGTGAGTGTGCTGTGTATGTCTGAGGGTGCTGTGTGTGTGAATATGTTTGAGGGATTGTGTGTGTGTGTGTGTGTGTGGGGCAGATTTATATATATATATATATATATATTTTTTTTTTTTTTTCCCCTCCCTTCTTACCTCTTGCCTGGGAGGGGGTGGACCATGCTGCTATCCCTTGAGGTCCTACTGGTGAGTGACCTCTAGCCTGCAGGGCTAGAGTTCACTCTCGCGAGATCTGAGCGTTGCTGTGGTAAGCTCCACCGGGTCCTCTCCCCAGGCGGCGGCCGCATGTTAGTGCTAGTGGGCCGGTGAGGGAGATCTTTGACAGCAGGGCCAGTGCTCGATAGCGCGGGCCCTGCATGTACCCATGGCCATCGCGGTCCACCCGGTATGCCTGATGGCCTATTTGATGTAATAAAGCTGTGTTTATTTTTATAATCTTTCATATATATTCTTTGAGACTTATGGACTTATATACTGATCGGGAGTCATTGAAACGCCAGACTGGCAATGGAATGCATAGGAGGAAACGGACATGACATTGCGGTCCGTATCTAGAATGCACACGTGACCAGGGACATGATCCGAGGGTGAGGCTTGGATCATTACCGGGCCGGATCGAGTTCTAATTGGAAAATTAAAAACAGCTAAAGAAGCTCTTTGGGGATTGGTTAATGGCAACCCATGGCAGCTCCCTTTCATGTATAAAAATGAAACGCTGAATATGGAAGAACATGCAGCCTGAAGATAGACCTTTGCCCCTGAGAAAGTTCAAGCATATTGAATGAAATGCGTAGGGCGGAATGTCAGAGCTATCTTTATTGTTTTTATTATTTGTTTTTTCTTAGATTTATGCTTATTCACTAGCACTTGAGAAGAAAGAGAAGACTTTCCCCGATTTCTGCAGACACTGTTGGGACTTCTCTCTTGATTGGTGCTACCTGCCTTGAGTGCATGAAATGCCTTATTTGTGTTTTTATTTTGTTAGTGTAACTTGTATTAAAATTCATACTGATATTAAGAAGCTCTGCACTGATGTCCTTTTTTCATTTGCATTTTTCTCCAAGTTTAACCCTTAAGGACCAAACTTCTGGAATAAAGGGAATCATGATATGTCACACATGTCATGTGTCCTTAAGGTGTTAAAATGACCCTATATTGGATTGATGTGCCTACAATCAATTTTGTTTTGTGAGTGATTTTCATTCACTTTTATCCATACAATTGTGTGTACTATATTACCCTATGTATTTTCTCTCTGTTTTGGGTATTTTATTGTAGACAGGCTGTTTTGTTTTTCATATTATGTTGTGGACCTGGAGGAGTGTTTTTTATCTACAATTCTAAATGCAAAGGGGTAATTTGTTTTATTCTTTTCCCCTAACAATGTGTTTTTCCACTATTGGGGAGGTGTCTCTGTTTATTTAGTTCTATTAAGTGCCCTAAACAATGCCTTTAATTTCTAATTGGGGCACATGTACAGCCTTTTGCTCTTAGCATTGGCGTGTCATTGGCATTCCACTTCCTCTATATGGCTCGGGCCTCAGGCTGGGTTACCCCCATACTGACATAGCAGTGTATGAGAGTACGAATTAAGTAAGGAGCACAGCCATAAATGTTTATATACAAAAAATTCTTTATTAAATGAGTACACACTAATAGCATATCTCATTAAATATGAAACCAAAGTACACAATTGTAACATGTTGTAAAGCAACTTCCAGAAAAATTCTGGCTCTATAGAAGCGCCAAAGGCGTGAAGCATGAAATAACTAAGTTTCAATATCATAGGTAACTAAATGAGATACCAATACAATCCAAACCCACACAAACAAACACATATAGAAAAAATACAAAAAGCTTACCAGACCTAGTGAGAAGCAGGGACAGAGTCAACCAAAAAGCTCCCAACGTTTCGGCAAAATGCCTTTATTAAGCAGTGGATGAGACCAGGCAATTTATGTTGTATTTACTTTAGTTCGTATGTTATCGCCTATGTTCATTCAACCCTTACTTACTTTCCCCTCACTGTTATTACCAATGCTTTGGAGTTGTAGATTTCATCTTTAGAAGTATTTTCCCTGATATGCAACTAAGGCTATTCAGGGCTGTGACTCTGAACCATGCCTTTATTTTTCAGGCTTATACTTAATGAAGATGATTAAATTAATATCAGTCAATGTCAATCTCAATAATCCTAAAATAAAACCAGCACCTTCTTTTCACGGTATTGAGAGGATAAGGGCAAATATTGCCTTTATTCAGGAGACTCCTTTACCCAAGGTCTCTCCCGTTTCTCTCAGGGACAGGAATTTGATAGGGCATACACCTCCAGATCATTTCATGAACATAATTGTGTTGATATCCTGATACAAATGAAATGTGGGTTTAAATCTACCCAAGTGCAAACTAACACAGAGGGGAGATATGTTCTCCATATGGAACCCTGGATCACCAAATACTACATCTTTTAAATGTCTATGACCCTAATACTATGAATAGGCAATTCTGTAAGAGTTTATAAGATTGGTAGTGCCATCACTTACGGATTTGTTTGTCACTGGAGGGGATTTTAATGTAGTCCCAAGTCCTGCAGCTGGGGGGGGGGGGGGAGAAGCTCAGCTGGATTATATGTTTTATTCTGCTTCCCATTAAATATATTCCTGTATTGACTTTGATTTCCAGGAGACTGCTACCACTAGTTAATAAATCAGAAATTAATAACATTGCATGGTTCGGACCTTGGTGATATGGCACTATACCATAAAGATTGCCCCACCCCTTGGTCCAGGTGCTTAAATTCCTTATCCCTTCCCCAGGTGTCTTGCTCTTTTCAGGAGTGTTTAGGGTCTGAGATCACAGAAGTGGAGGTATCACAGGCTATTTCCTCTTTAAAGAGCAATAAGTCTCCTGACCCTAATTGTAACTACTATAGTGTTTAGTGAACAACTAGTCCCTCACCTGACCACCTTTTTAAACAAGGCTATGAAGGGAGAACCTCTGACACTGGAGATCACCCTAGCTAATATTAGTTTGTTACTGGAAGAGGGTAAGGTTCTCACTCATGTCAGTAACTATGGACCAAAATCTCTAATCAACTTGGATGTTAAGATTTTGAAGGTCCTGACAAACAGATTAAACCTCGGGCTGGGGACCTTAATCCATCCCAATCAGGTGCGATTTTTTTTTTTTTCCATGTTTAATTTTTATTATGGTTTTACAATGTTGAAGGACACAGTTCACAGGTTAATAAAATCAGAATACAGCCCTATTATGGACAACAAGGTTTAGTCACCTGAGTGCCCAAAGTGTAACGTGACATATCTAGTAAATGGCTTTACATCTCATAAACAAGTTGTGTAGTGTGACAAACTGCCCATTTTAAGGGAGTTTGCCATGAGTTTTTGGAGGGGCCTTCTTGTCAGCCTCCTACCCTGGGACTATGGGCCCTGTGATAACCCATGTTCAAAAGTACTGTTTTTGCCCCTTGGACTTTTAACTGGAACAGATTCAAACATGCGGTGGCGGCCATCTTAAATTGTCCAGCAGTGTTTTGTTGTCGAGTGTATGGAACTGTTTTGGGCATGGGACTATGTGCACGGTGGGGCAAAAATAAGACTTCCAGGAAATTCCTGAACCCCTAAACCGATCTGGGTGATTTTTGGATATGTTGTTCACCCAGATCGGGGCTATCAAGGGATGTGGGGATATGTTGTATTTTGGGGTTTGTAAAAATGTATGTTTTTTTTCTGCTTAGAATTAATTGAGTTAGTCCATTGTCTTCGTTAATTATATCACAGGCAGAGGGGAGGGATTGTGTACACTGTATGGGAGTGTCTGAATTTAAACCTCTATTTTTATTGGCTTGTATGTTTTGTATTCGGTGCCTAACTAGGTCCACCTAGGCGTCACCCTTTGCTGTAAAACTTATATAAAAGACCAGTGTGTGCCATTAAACTTCCTGTTCATGATTTACCCATAATCTAGAGTCTTGTCTCTTATTGGGGGAAACTGCTACATCATCATCAACAAGGGCTTAGCATTCCTCACCGACCCTTACAGAATCTCTCAAACTCACTCATCCCTTGCACCTACATGGCTGCCACTTTTCTCTGTGTGAGAATGTGCTTCAATTTTAAATAGGTAAATACCTCTCCCTTATTGAGACCATAATCGGTTTGTAGATCCGTGAATTGGCATATACCAGTTGTTGCACCCTGTTGAAGCCTGAACTTTTCCAGTTACCAAGGGAAAATTCACGAGAGTATTATGAAAGATGACCCAAGTTTCCATATGCTATATTTGTTCCCTGCTCTACTATTTTTGGGGACCATATTATTTACATTTGCATAGAAAGGCGTGTTGTGGAGAGTGGATTAAGACTTTGGGGCTGTTCCTGTGGGGTCACCCAGATTAAATTCAGGATCTGGTGTGGGTCAAGCACTGACTGCTCTAGCTTGTGCCACAAATGTTTTTCCCATGCCTGAAGAAGCACTGCTGTCTGTGATAAGATTGAGGCAACATGATATATTTGAATGTTGGGAACACCAAGCCATCCTCCTACACTCTGTAGCTCATGGTATTTAAGGACATTATTTTTGTAATAGGAAACATCTCCATATGTTTTTATTAATTCCATTAACGAGGGCAGTGAATTTTGGGGCTGAAGGATTTCATCAACAATTAAAGTGATTTTATGGGAACCTGTCTTTGTGTCCAAACCTTTGATTTCATCCGTTGGCTGTATTTGTTGTACAAGTGGCTCAAGTGCCAGTATGAAAATCAATGGTAACAAGGGACACCCCTGCCTTGTTCCATTCATGATGGGGAACTTCCTGGTTATGAAACCTGTAGACATTATTCTTGCCAATGGAGCAGAGAACAAGGGGATAATGCAGCTCCTGGATTTGGATGGGGATCTTAAATTTTTCTAATCCAGAGGCCATGCACCATCAATGATGGCGATCCAAGTGGTCCATAAACCCTATCATGTTATCCCCCGTCTGTCTGCTGGGGATGGACCCTGCCTTCTCTGGAGAGACAAGAATGTCCAGAAAGGGCTTCAATCTCGAAACCATTACCTTAGTGAATGACTTTGCATCAGCATTCAACAGGGATATCAGGTGGAAGGTGGAGGTCGGAGGCTTTCCAAGCTTAGGGAGGCAGATTATATTGGCCTCTAGCATTTCTGGGTGTATACAGTCGGAATCCAGGATGCTATTGAAAATACCTGTTAGATGGGGAACCAAAATCTATTCAAATTTCGTGTAATAAAAGGTGAAGAACCCATCTGGGCCTGGTGCTTTATGTTTAAGGGTGCTCTGCAATGCCCTCTTCTGAAAATGGTCTGTCTGGCAGCCTGTTTTATAGTTAGCTGTGGCAGCAAGATTGGACTTAAAAACTGATCTATAGACTGTTGCATCGATAACCATGCTAACCATATACTTGCAATAGACGTATTCTCATATGGGTTGTCATTAAAGAAGTTTGGGAATGTTACCTGAATGTCTATTTCACCTTGTCTATTCTATAAGAGCGACTAATTTAAATGCCAGGTTTCTCTCCCCCTAACCGGGTATAAAGTTGTGAACGTTGAACAGGCTGGAACATGTTGTGACCCTGTAATAGGGGCTACATGCACATTAGTCAAGCACATATCTATTTGGGAGTACCATCTATTTTGGAAGTACTGTTCTATCTTAGAATAAAATTTGTGTTCCCTGGCTCCAGGGTAAAGGGAATGCCAAGAATTGGAACCCATGTTCTCCTATAAGGTTTTCCATTTTGGAAATCATAGCCGTCCTACCTGCTGAGGGGCCCTTTTCGCCCAATGTATCTCTATGAAGTTCCTACAAACGTACACCTGCCCCCACCTAAGTTTAGCAATTTTGCCATGAGCTTTCTGGAGAAAACCAAATTGGTTTTCTTCTGGGGAAATACATTTGCTATGGTCACCTAGACCCCATTTAATGATCCTACCAAAATAAGCAATCTTCCCTCTTTATCTTTGTATTCCCTGTCACACTTGAAAGCCCAGTCCACATGAAATAATATGCTAACCCCTTTAGTTGTGTTAGGAACATAGGCATGGTATGCATTGGAAAATCTACACTGAACAAAATTATAAACGCAACACTTTTGTTTTTGCCCCCAGTTTTCATGAGCTGAACTCAAAGATCTAATGTGAGGCCCGTTGGATGTACTGCCAATTCTCTGAAACGCCTTTGGAGACGGCTTATGGTAGTGAAATGAGCATTCATTTCCCAGGCAACAGCTCTGTTGGACATTCCTGAAGTCAGCATGTCAATTGCACGCTCCCTCAAAACTTGCTACATCTGTGGCATTGTGCTGTGTGATAAAACTGCACATTTTAGAGTGGCCTTTTATTGTGGCCAGAATAAGGCACACCTGTGCAATAATCATGCTGTCTAATCAGCATCTTACTATGCCACACCTGTGAGGTGGATGCAGTGGCGTACATACCGCAGCCACGACCCCTACCCTGCAACCCGGTATGTACGCCAGTGTGACCAGCCTCTTCTCCTGGGGGGCCCAGGAGCTGGCCACCTCAGGGCCCCCCGAGGCTGGCCCTGGTGTCACCGGCAGGTCCTGTGGGCACGTGAGGGAGCACTCTCCCCTGAGCACTCTCTGACCAGCTCCCTTGTGCACCGCACTGATGCAGGAGACTGAATATGACGATCAGTAAGCGGCACCACTGGACCCCAGGTAATCCCCTCAGCACTCCCAAAGGTAGGGAGGCTGGGGGATCACATATAAAAAAAAAGTGTGTGTTTATGTGTGTTAGTATTAGAGTGTGTGTGTGTATCAGTGTTAGTTTTTGTGTCTGTGTGTGTGTCGGCTAGTGAGTGTCAGTGAATGTGTTAGTTTTTGTGTGTGTGTTACTGTGTGTGTCTGTTATTGAGTGTGTGTCTGCTAGTGAGTGTCAGTGTGTGTGTTACTGTGTGTGTCTGTTAGTGAGTCTGTTTGGCAGTGGCATACACACAACCCATGGGGTCCCGGTGCGAAAACTGATCCGTGGGCCCCCCCTGCGCACTTACTCTGCTTACGCTGCGACCCCTGCGACTGCGGTATGTACGCCAGTGCATGCAGATACACATACACTTAAAGGACCACTACAGACACCCAGATCACATAAGCTCAATGAAGTGGTCTGGGTGCCAGGTCCCTCTAGTTTTAACCTTGCAGCTGAAAACATAGCAGTTTCAGAGAAACTGCTATGTTTCACTGAGGGTTAATCCAGCCTCTAGTGGCTGTCTCATTCACAGCCACTAGAGGAGCTTCTGCGATTCTCACTGTGAAAATCACAGTGAGAAGACGCTGAATGTCAATAGGAAAGCATTCAGTAATGCTTTCCTATGGGTGGTTTGAATGCGCGCGTGGCTCTTGCCACGCATGCACATTCGGAGCTGAGAGGCGGATCGGGGCGGAGAGATCCCCAGCGCCAAGGGAGTCCGGCGCTGGAGAAAGGTAGGTGCTTAAGACACACACACTCTCACGAACAGGCGCATACACACAAGCTAACAGACACACACCTTTATTGACAGACACACACTCAGTGACAGACATACATACACACTCACTGACAGACAGACACTCACTCACTTACAAAACACACACTCACTAACAGACGCACACAAACTAACACACTCAGTAACAGACACACACAGTAACACACTCACTGACACACTCTAACACAGACACACACACACTCTAACACTAACACACACACTCTCTAACACACACACACTCTAACACTAACACACGCACGTTTTTTCTTTTAAATTTAATCCCCCCAGCCTCCCTACCTTTGGGAGTGCTGAGGGGATTCCCTGGGGTCCAGTGGTGTCACCCGGCGGGCTGGCTGGCTGGCGGGCGCGCGAGGGAGCACTCTCTCCTGAGTGCTTCCTGTTCAGCTCCCTCGCACGCCACGTACTGATACCGGAGCCGGAAGATGACGTCATCTTCCGGCTCCGGTATCAGTGCGGTGCGCAAGGGAGCACACGGGGGAGAGTGCACTCTCACGCGCCGAGTCGCGCGGCGGCCGGGCCCACTGGTGGGCCTGGTGTTGCCGCGACCCCGGTATGTACGCCACTGCTGTTTGGTGTCTGTTAGTGAGTGTTTGTAAGTGAGTGTGTATGTTTGTCTGTCTGTCAGTGAGTGTGTCTCTGTCAGTATGATTTTCACAGTGAGAATCGCGGAAGCGCCTCTAGTGGCTGTCAGTGAGACAGTCACTATAGGCTGGATTAACCCTCAGTGAAATATGTTTTCAGCTGCAGGGTTAAAACTAGAGGAACCTGGCACCCAGACTACTTCATTGAGCTGATGTGATCTGGGTGTCTGTAGTGGTCTTTTAATTGTATGTGTATCTGCATGCACTGGAGTACATACTGCTGTTGCAGCCCTGTAGTAGTTTTGAATAGACATGTGCAATTCGTTTCGTTCCAAATGTAAATTTCGACGTATTTAGGACATTCTGATGCTTCCGAATGTCTGAATTGACGAATTTCCGAAATGCCAAAGTGCTTCGGATTTCTGAAAAGTGGCAAAACAGAAGAAGGTTGGGGTGGGGTAGGGTTAGTGGTTGGGGTAGAGGTATCGGTAGGGTTAGGTTAAGGGTCGGGTTAAGGGTTGGGGTACGGTTAGAGGTAGGGTTAGGGTGGGGTAGGGTTAGTTGTTGGGGTAATGTTAGTGGTTGTGGTAGGGTTAGGGTAAGTGGTTGGAGTAGAGGTAGGGTTAAGAGTTGGGGTAGGGCTAGTGGTTGGAGTATGGTTAAGGGTTTGGGTAGGGTTAAGGGTTGGGTAGGGTTAGTGGTTGAGGTAGGGTTAATGTTTGGAGTAGGGGTAGGGTTATGATAGGGTTCACCAGATTGGTTACGTTGCCTTTGAGACAGTATGGTAGCCCTGGAATGAGAATTACCCCCATGATGACATACCATTTGCAATAGTAGACAACCCAAGATATTGCAAATGGGGTATGTCCAGTCTTTTTTAGTAGCCACTTGGTCACAAAACTGGCCAAAGTTAGTGTTAATATTTGTGTGTGTATAAATGCAAAAAAACTAACTTGTATGCCAATTTTGGCCAGTGTTTGTGACTAAGTGGCTACTAAAAAAACTAGACATACCCATTTGCAATAACTTGGGTTGTCTACAATTGCAAATGGTATGCCATCATGGGGGTAATTTTCATTCCTAGGTTACCATACGGTCTCAAAGGCAACGAAGTGGGATTGCCGGCGACCGGGTAAGTTCATAGAATGGCGGGGACGTGCTATGCTGCCTCCTGGCGTTTAGAGATGGGTCCCCAAGTACAGCATAGCGCTCCCGCCGTCCTTAAGGGGTTAAAGGACACTATAGGCCCCCAGACCACTTCGGCTCATTGAAGTGGTATGGGTGCAGGGTCCCAGGTCCCTTAACCCTCAGCAGGTAATTATTGCAGTTTTAAGAAACTCCACCTTTAGTGGTTGTCTACAAGGACAGACTGTCAGTACCCTGGGACCCTGGCAACATTAGACCAACATATATTCTGGTATACATAATGGTGTAGTTATACCGTGTATTTATATGTGCATGTACAGTGAATGTGAGCCCTGGTGTAAGTGAATATATGTATGCTTTTGTGTGTAGTATTGGAATCTGTGGATTCAGAATATATTTAAATACATGGGTTTTTTTTGTTTTTTTTTACATAGGTAGTATTTAGACTTGACGGAGGGGGAAGCTATAGTGCCAGGAAAACAAGGTTGTTTTTCTGTCACTATAGTTTCCCTTTAAATTAAAAAAAAATGCACACATTTGACTTTTCATTGGTAATTAATTGCAGATAGCCTGAAACCATCTGTTGGGTGAATATTTTATCATATTATATTTGCAGATTTATACAGTTACTGGCTATTAAGTACTTCCAAGCTGTTTTTGACCGAAAAAATATCAGCTTAACATTTATTTGAAACATGTGATGCATAGCTAGCATATAAACATATATTAAACTAAAAAAAAAATATTATGTACATTTACACAGTTAATTTTGACATATTCATTCATCCATTATAACAAATATTTGGAAAATAAAAAGCTTTAAAGAGTACACCAAATTTAAAACCTGCTTTAGGTTGGTGTAAAGAGACAACACCAATTTTATAACTGCACACTCTTTACCCCATGTGAAGTGAAGTTAATAGAGGCCCATGTGAAGTGAAGTTAATAGAGTCTCCTCGCTCTCTAATTTGCCAGTGGTGTCAGGAGATGACTCATTCCCTGGCCTTAAAGATGGTAACTTCTACATTGCCCATTTGTATCCCTAACCCCTTTCATGCCTACTTAATCTAGTAGATGCCCAGGGTTCTGTCACTTAAAAACATAAACCCATAATGGGGTTAACTTCTTTAATACTGATGTGGAACAAGGAGATGTCCTGTCTCCTGGTCTTTATGGGGTTATCCCCCATAAGTGGATTAACCCCTAAATTGCCAGTTGGGTCAGGAAACAGGGCATTCCCCAGCCCCATAAATAAACATACTCCTAGTGGCTAGGGGTTCCAATAAATGTAACTATCTACCAACACAATACTAATATTTAAAAGTGAGGGAGGGCCTAAATAAGTATTTCTCTAATTCAATAAATGTTTTAAAAATCCATAGTAGAATGACTGCACACTTTCAAAATAAACAACAATGGAAGATCCCACCGGCGCAACAATGGACCCAGGGTGGCTAAACCCTTTGCAGAACTAGAAGAAAATAATGAAGGCCACATTACGCTGTATTCCATTTCCTATTAAAGACTGCAACTCCCATGCTTGAATACTTACCTATTGATGTATTTATTGAAAATCTTCTTTCTTTTCTCTTACTTCTTCTGCACAAATGGGCAGTACATACCAGGCAGAGGAACATAAAGGCTACCTGCTGCAGTGTTGCGCTACACACGACAAAGACTGATAGGTAGGACGGGGGTTGTTCCTCTTCCCACTCTGCCATGAGTGGACAGGCCCCCTATATGTATGGTGCTGATTGCAAAAATCTAAAACTGTTCGTAAAACAGCTTATACCTGATAAAATCCCACTCTTAGATGTGTTTGTAAATCTTAAACATATTGTTCAAAGTTTTCAGGTATTACAAATTACAAAGATAGGTGTTTATAAATGCACCTCCAGGGATGTGCTCACACAATTATAGCATTTCTCTGTGTGTTTTTTTCCTGTTTGTTCTTCTGTTTTTTTCTGGTTTTCTTCCCTTTGAATAATTTTAAACATTGTTTTTTTAGGTGGTATTTTGACTAAACACGTTGAGAAACACTACTGTAGAAAATAAAAAGATAATTTACTTCCAGTATTAACATGTATGAACAAGGCATTTCTTTGTCCTTTTGGACACTGAATTGTTACCTTAGGTTGATAAATCATGATTACAAAGTAAGTTTAATAGTTGAAGTGCAACATGATGTGCTGCTGTCAGGGACATGTATTTTAATGTTATTTTCTCTTTAAATAATTCTGTTCTTCCCCTTTAAGTTCACGAGTCCACCGACAATAAACAGCCTATTTAAGTCCTTCCTTTCAGTAAACCTGTGCACTCTTTTTTTTATTTTATTATTATTATTTTTTTTTTCGTGCATGAGTTAATTTAACAAGCATTCATGTTATGCCCCAACAGCAGTGACATGCATTGAAATTGACAAAGTATAACAGTTGTGGCAAATGAAATCGATGCACATTTTTGTATGAGGGTTATCAAAGGAAACAAGATGATAGCCAGTGGTGTGACAACACATCAATTAATGAAAAGACCAGACTATTCCTGCTCACTGTATGAGTGTAGCTTGCAAGATTAAACAATGGTTGTACATATGAAACAGATTTAGAATACGGTGAGTGTATTAACTGACTGACCATTCTAATTATGCATGCCTTAACAAATAGTTGTGTGGCTAGTTATATCAGGAAATCGAATCTAAAGTAGGTCCCCAGCAAAAAGAACTTACGAAAAGCAGCCTTCATACAGTGAGGGACATTGACAGATTAAAGTTGCGGTAGAAGAGTGGGGGGAACATTTTTCTAAATAGCCGAGACCAATGGGTAAGACCATGTTTGGAAAAAAAAAAAAGGTCATACCTCACGTTGCTGTGTGGTCTAGACTGTATTAGTCAGCTATCAACATGCTTAGCCTATGTCTGTCAGTAGGTGGGCATTGGGCTGGTGAGTTAACATGGTAGGTAGCTTATTAGGTTAACCACGGAAGCTGGCCTCTCGCTGTGGCTGCAATAACCTGGTGGAGGGCCGTGTGGGCATAGGAGACAGAGCTAACATTGTCTAGGCAGCTACCTAAATAATAAAGACAAGAAAACTATAGTAAAATATAGGCAAGCTTCGGCTTGGATCTCAGTTGTGAGGCACAGCAAGTCCCCCTGCCCGGCACAACCGATCTCTCTGGACTGCAGATCTGGAGAGCGTCCTTAAGAGTGGTATGGGTGGTCGACAGATGTCTTTGTTTCGGCAACAGATAGGGAACGACAGTCATGAAGGGTTAGAGAGTCAGCCGATGCCTTTAATGGGCAATTTTAAACAGTCTCTGTCCAGGTGAGCCATGGGGTATGTAGGATGGACCGGACCACTGTGAGTTTCAGTTCCCATTGCTTTTGTCCATCTCCGACCTGTGCCACCTCTTTGTGCAGCATCCAGCCCTGCTCCAGGGGGGTCCGGTGTGTCCTGGCCTTTGCAAGGTCACCTGTTCAGTCGCTTGGGAGCGAGGGGGTGTAACGTCCCCTTGCGGAGTGGCTGCGGCTCTGGTCGCTGTTGCGTTGGCATTGCCGCCATTGTGGGCCTTGTACTTAGTCGTCTTCTCAGGTGGGTAATGCCGCTCTTGGGTTTTTGCAGGGCCATTGCGCCATGGTGGGCCAGCCTTTGGCGGTGTGGCATGGGAGTCTCTGGATTCTTGGCCACTCTGTGCTGGCGGCATCTGCGCCGTTGTTTGCCTGTCGCGCGAGTGAGGTGTGTGGGGCTGTTACTCCCCGCAACTGCACTTGTCGGACCCTGGAACGTGCCTCCTGGTGTGGTCCCCGAATAGGGGGTCTGCATGAGGGCCTCTAGCCGTTCCCAGAGTGCGCTGAAGATGCGATTATAGCGGCGCTCAGTTTCCCTCCTGATGTCGTTGTGGGCTGCGGTGAGTGAGCCTTCCGCCATGTTGTAGGCCTTGTTAGCAGCCTCCAGGTTGCGGAGCCGTATCGCTCTAGTGTAGCTTGGCTGGGGGGTTGAGTTGGGGTGGACCGGGATATCTCCCGCCGGTCCATAGGGGGGGAGCGAAGGCTCTGGGTCAGATTTTCGGGCGTGTTTGGCACCATCTCTCCTGCGCCTGCCATGCTGTTAGGCCTCATCCATGTGGCTGGTACGGACCGGGTTAAATGTCGCTTATCTGGTATCTTTGAGTTTGTCCCAGCTTTCCCTTTCACTTGGTGGCCTTTGTTTAGTTTTTTAGTGTAGTTTCTGTAGCTTTATTCGTATTTTTCCGCTTTGAGTAGCAGGAGCTGCTGAGACTTGCATCCTCTCAGTCCTGTGGTCAGGCCCCGCCCCCCCAAACCTGTGCACTCTTAATGAACTGACACCAGGCACCAGCCTGTTTGGCTCCTCTGCCTTGCATTTTACTAGTAACTCATTTTTCACGTCTCAGAATCTCCAGCTCAACTCAGCGCTGATTTTCCATTTACCTCAACGGGAATTCCTTCAGAATATCCAAATTAGATCCTTATACTCACCTTGCTTGCTGCATTTGTCCAATTGACTTCAAATGTTTCCAACTCAACTGATGAAAGCTAAATGAACTCAATTTTGGACTCAACTACTGCCAGCCAGTTTACCAGCCTGTATGAATATTTTTGTTTTTTCATATGGGAATGGCAGGAATCACTGACTTGCCTCAAGACTTGGCTAAATCCCTATTTCTGTTACTTTCTTACATTTGAACAATCTGCTATGGACGTTGTTTGCCTACTACTAACTGGGTAATTAATCTATAAGGCGAAGCAAAGTGTTTTATTTAGCATGCACTGCTTTCTTTTTTGCTTTATATTGTCAAAATCAGGTTCTGATTCAGGCTGTCTGATTTAAAAGACTTTCATGTTTATTTATTTTTCTCATTTTTGCCAATAAAAGTCTCTGCAATTTGATACACTATTACATGATCTGTAAGGAACAGGAATGAATATTATATAACCGCTGCTCTAATTTTATCCATAACATTGCGGAAGGCAAGTCTGACTTTCAGATAAAGTGTAGCAATTCAAATATTTATCAGGCTCAGTATTGTCAGAATTGCACCTGAATTTACTCATTTTTAGGAATTCCAATGTGCTTTCTTTTTTCCTTTTTTTTTTTTTTTTACAGAATAGCACCTTCTTTCTCTACCTACCCTGTTTGAGAATGAAAGGATAATAGTATAGTAACTAGAGTTTGATCCAGTGGATAATTCATCCAGTGTCCTCCATCTACTGAACTGTGGGTTAGTGGGAAATAATATTTCTATTCTATATCCTCTAGGGCCTATTATAGTGAACCCCTATATAGGATGACCAGTCCTCTGGTTGAAACTCAATATTCCCTCAGCTGCCTGTGGTTTCCAAGTCCCTTGCCACAGTAGACCCTAACCCCTTATATACCATTGAACAACAACAGTAAACGACCAATGAAAGTCTCTAAGGTAAATAAATAACAATTTAAATAAACATTTCATACTTGCCATGCAATGGATGTCCCTGAGGCCCTTGAAGTTGGTTAATAATGCTTGGTATATGTGAGGACAGTGCTCATGTCACTGTTAGCCAAGTATAACATAAGTGTAGGGTAGTACGTACTAAGTATGTGTGGGATGAATGTGTATGCTAGCGTGAGCTAAGTATGTGGGGGATAAATGTATATGCTAGTGTGAGCTAAGTATGTGTGAGGTGAGTGGAATGCTTTTTTTGCCATTTGGGGACAGGGCAGCTGTGCATATGGCCACACATTCATTTCATATTTTAATGTGTACCACTTTACCAATGCATTGCAGTAAAATAAAAATAAAAATGTGAATAATTTTTCAACTATGTTTTCTTGTAAGGCTACTATGGTGTATAAATGGCACTATGTGGCACTATATCGTTTAGTTTTTACCAGGATATTTAACATTTTTGTTCAAGAAATTGTTAGGGAGGTTGTATAATAGTATGTTGATATGCTATGAAATAGTCCATTTGATAAAGATTTTTAGGATGGGCTTTAGTTTAAGAGACTACCAGTTAAAATTAAGATTGAGAGCCAGCAGGCCTTTAGTGTGCCAATGAACAGCATGGTTACTGGTCGGCTTGAAATGTTTGGCACATACAGACAATACAAAAACATATTCTGAAATGAACCACCTGAAATGAACTGGTCCTATAGATTGTTATATGGGATTTCTCCAAATGACTATGTATTACAATCCCATAAAAATGATCAGATCATTCTATGCGCTTAATGAGAGTAACCTTTTCTTACCAATGAAAGTTTACTGGCTTTTTGCAATAATGCAAATACAAGAAAATTCAAAAACGTGCAATGTTACAGATTAAAGCTCATAGAATTAAGCATTACACAGCAATAAGGTAAGTATCATGCCAACATTGGTAAATAAAAATGTTTGGTATTAAAAAAAAAAAATGGGACAGTCTAGACCCATAAAGCACTTTAGCTTGCTATTCATACAGCTTATAAGTTTATATACAGTGCCATTGGGATTTCTTTTTTTTTTTCTTCTTTATTTGCATACTTTGTTGAGTTGCTACATGGAACTTGCATGCTATCACTGGCTGCTATATATATTCTGAAATGGGGATTGTACCGTCTGTGCTATCATCAGAAGAGCTTTTAATATTTCAATTCCCAATTCCCAAACCATCTCTGCAACAAGCCTCTTCAATTCTACTCGGTTCATAAGACATGAGGTCACACATTTAGACTGGCAGAAGGGAGATTTAGTCTAAGGCAAAGGAAAGTAAGAGCAATAAGGATGCTGCATTCTCTGCCTGAATAGGTGGTTTTATCAGAGTTTTTACAGATGTTTTAACACCAACACAAAATGGATGAATACTTGCAAAAAACATAATATACAGGGATATAATTTTAAATATGTGGGGTAACATTTTCTTTACCCAAGGAGAGATCTGACTGTCATTCTGGGGTCAAGAAGGACTTTTTTCTTAGTTTATTGGAAAGCACTTCAAGCTAACTTTTTGCCTTCTGTTGGATAAACTGCAAAAACAGATGTGAGCAAGGCTGAACTTGATGGACGCAGGTCTCTTTTCAGCCCAGGTAACTATGTGATAAACGTAATATAGAGGGTTTTAAAAGATTCTGTGTAACAATATTATGGAATGCATATCTTAACTCTATTATCTTGCAAAGTGAAAGGCCAATTAAAAGGGAACTGAAATCAACATAGCCACCGCAGACAAGATAGATAAGAGTGTCCCTTCAAGACATTAATGTTAAAAATGAAATGTGTATGAAGCCTATTATGAACTTTAACTTTTATATCACAGTGCATAAGCCACAAGTTATGATGTCTACACCACAGAGTAGATAACAGACAACAGCTGCTAACGCTCATATCAGATGTCTCCAAACGTGATGAACAAGACTATGAAATTTGAAGATTTAGATTATAAAGTGCTGTCTTCTCTAGCAGAGCTTGTAATCAAAACGTAAATAAGATATTTTGGTGTCTCTCCAATTCACTAGCAGGGTTCTAGCTACCAAGCCTACAACACCACTCAGACGTCTTTTAGAATCAGCAGTTTAAACAATGCCATTTCAAGTGAGATAGCAAAGTGCCATGCTTACCATACCCAAAAAATCCTTAAACGGATAAACAAAACATTAAAAATGTTGCACAAAACTTGAATACTTAATTGTCAGTTTTCGTCAATCAAATTTTTTGAATAATACCTTTAAAATATATTAAAAAAAATATAGTGCAGACCAGTTATACACAACACTAAATAACATTTATAATACAAGTCATATGGACAGCAACTCACAAAAGATGAGTGGATTAAGTGTCACTTTCACTAAAACTCCTCTTGAGCGATAGATCCTCCAGTATCTGAAAACAATCATACTTTGCTCTGAGCATAGTCCAAAGAAGCCTGATAAGCTATGGGTTTTACTTCTATGGAGTTGCATCACTCTGCATCCTTAGGCATATAAAAAGCAAAAATGGAAAGGAAATAATAAGTTAACCAGGTTTTTGCTAGATGCCAATAATATTATAAATTTTATTTATTATAATTTGTAATTTTTTCATATACCAAATAGTGTATAAAAATTTAAGTGTGTTGTGTTTAAAGGACCACTATAGTGCCAGGAAAACATACTCGTTTTCCTGGCACTATAGTGCCCTGAGGGTGCCCCCACCCTCAGGGTCCCCCTCCCGCCCGGCTCTGGAAGGGGGAAAAGCTGGGCGGAGAGCTCTCCTCCTCCGATCCTCCTCTTCTCCTCCCCGGCTGAATGCGCACGCGCGGCAAGAGCTGCGCGCGCATTCAGCTGGTCACATAGGAAAGCATTCATAATGCTTTCCTATGGACGCTTGCGTGCTCTCACTGTGAAAATCACAGTGAGAAGCACGCAAGCGCCTCTAGTGGCTGTCAATGAGACAGCCGCTAGAGGCTTTGGGGAAAGGCTTAACCCATTCATAAAATGGGTTTATGAAAAAATGGGTTAACCCTAGCTGGACCTGGCACCCAGACCACTTCATTAAGCTGAAGTGGTCTGGGTGCCTAGAGTGGTCCTTTAAGTGTTTTGTGGTTTTAAGTGTTATGATCAATACTTGCAAGGTGATTCTCTAAAGTGAGAAGTCAAAGTGAATTCAAAGATAATTTTAAATTTTTTGGCAATTGAAGGTATAGCTGACTTAGAGATTTTTTCAAGTTTGTCTATTTTAACTTTACATTTAAAACTCACATTGAATTCTCACTTTGGTAAAAAAAGAAAAAAAAAAGAAAAAAAATGAGTCTGTGGCTCTCAGTCTCCCATTCTTCTTGGCCAGTATAAATCAGGATAACAGATAT